TCTCAGGGATGCACGAGACAGCCTATCCATGGAATGAGCAATCCGGAACGGAAGATTGGCCCGATAATTCTTCGGCGAGTGAGGACCGTCCCCATGATGAAAACGACGGCGAGGGGACCAGTGGCAGCCATGGAGCGATCAAGGGCGGCAACGGTAGTCGTGGCGCTTGCTCCGGTGACAACAGCTTCAGCGATGACAGCCACGCTGAAGGCACAAGCGCCAGCGGCCGAGGAGCAGAGCCCGTTTGCAAGCGCAGGAAGATGCTCGACGCTGACCTGATCGGAAGCATCCTCGCAGAGCAACGACTGCTTCGACTGAGCCTCGAGGAAGCCCGTCAGAAGGAGTTTGCCTTGCGTGAGCTCGCGCTTGATCTCCAAGAGAGAGTTATGCAAACACAACGTGACCTTACTGCCGCCGTACTGGCTCTCCTGAACAAGCCATGAAGTAGTTTATTTTTTTCCAGATTTTTCACTCGTACCAAACCATTGCTATTTCCTTCCCATTGGTGAATCATGGCGACAAACGCGGTTTCTGAAGATGGCCTTGTTCATTTATGGTAAACGCACAAAAGGTTCTTGACGCGTCTTCAAGAAAGGCCGTGTTCATTAATCTTCTGTATCTTTTTGCTTCTTCATCGGAGCTAAAAATAAAGTCTGATTTCACCTGTATTTGTTCTTTCTGCTTTTTGTGTTTCGTCGCTTTGAAAAGCGTTTTGCTTTGGCTGCGCATGCCCACTAGACGCCAAAGTGTTATCAGAGGTAGAAAGCTCGTGCTGGAGACCACTGCTGTCGACAATAAATTTTGTTTCACGGCCAAGCTGACAAGATGATTGAAGCTACTTGCTCGTTGGACCAGTTATATACTCAAAACAATTTTATTTTCGGGACTACCAACATTTACCAATTTTACAAATTGTGGGTTTCAAAAATATTTCATGGCAGAGAGTTGCGCAATTTGGAGCGATATGCAATGTATATGATTACTATGGGTTAATATACTCGCGTGGTGTCAATTTCTTGAAGTCGTGAATTGTATGGGTCGACAAATTGTTACTAATGACAAATGATGAGGTGCTGAATTAAATGGAAAATCTAAATGTTTAACTTGTGCCCAAAACAAAATAGAAGGTTGGCGGAACAGCAGGATAGAGCGCTGGAGCGAGACTGACCATGGGGGGGGCTCGCCACGCAGAGCCCCTTATGTACACACGTGGGCATCTGGAACTATCGGCGTAGAAGGTTTGGCACGTAGAACATTCTAACCTCTAATAAGCAACAGGGTTCTCGAACTTACCAGAACGCAACATTTACAGAAACAGCAAAAAGGTGCATCTGTGGCCAGGCATTGAACCTTGGCTCTTTGCTTAAGAGCCAAGCACGTAACCGTTCGGCCAAGGGTGCACTGCCTACTTGGCCAGCTGTGCGTGCAGCAATATTACATTACTGTATCTCCATTTGTCCTTCGTTTATTTTATCTCTCAATTTGTCGTCATTGTCGTTTCTTTGTTCATTCGTCGTTGTCATCTTGGATCTCTCGATTCAGTTCACTCCTCTAGACTTCAGAGGTTATCCATCCTGGGATAATACCTAAAACGGTTCCAATCAAGGCAGTTTCCATTGTCTTGTTAAGGCCCAGGTACCATGTCATCTTTACCATATCTTGCTGGGAAGACGTTCTTAAAGGGGCACTGACACATCAAAATCTTATGTTTTTTTATTATCTGAAATGATTGAAAATGATGCTGGGACATAATCCTCAAAATTCGAAACTTGGGAATTCAGTGTAAAGTAAAAAAACAATTTGTGAAATAAAAAAATAATTTCCAACTGCCGAATTCGAAGTTCCCGCGCCAGTGCGTTGACGTCAAATATTGCGGAGCCCTGAGAGTCGACTTTGTTTCACGACTTCGTGCTGTTGCCACCGCGACCCGATGCGAGGAGGAAAGGAGCAAGAGATGAGGGCGCCGGCGGACCGAGAAAACTGGTTTTGAGCGGTGCCGCCTGCCCAGGCGGCATGTTTTCCGAGATAGGGTACAATTCCAGAAGGCGACATCACACTTGACTCCGATTTTTGGTATTTCAAAAAGAAGGGCCGTAGTGCGTTCGCAATTGCGTTAAAAAACATGTTATGTTTTTTATGTTTATGTTATGTTTATTAAATGTTATAGAAATATAGGAAAGGGAGGGAGGTAGGGGGGTGGGTTTTGGTTGCAATTTGGGTGTTCGCGGAACCCATGAGACCAGTTCGTGGAACCCCTGTGTTCCCCGGAACCCAGTTTGAGAACCCCTGCCATAAATTGCGGACACGGCAAATTCGCGTTTCACAATGCGATAAACACACGGGAACTAGCTACAAACTCCTGTGTCACAGGAAAGGATACCGCAAGTGACTGACACTGCAGATTCACCTTTCATGGTGCGAAGGACCCACAAAAACCCGCCGAAAACTCGCATTTTACGGGAACGGATATCGCAGACGCAGCAGATTCAAGTTTCATGGTGCAATAAAGACGCGGGAACCCGCTGCAATCTTGCCTGCCGCGGAAACTGATATTGCGTGTGCAGATTACGGACAAAAATGCGGGAATACGCTACAAACTCGCATCTCACGAAAACAAATATCGCAGACGCAACAGAATCGCATTTCACGATGCGTTATACACGCGGGAACAACTCGCGTGTTAAAGGGGCCCTTCCCCTTTAACACGCTTTTTGAAAGTTATAGGCAAATTAAAATTACAAAAACAAGCGAAAAATAACCTCCTTCATGACATCCTTGGTCGCTTGAGTGGCCGTGAACTAGAGGAGGGGTAGTGAGTTCAGCGAGCACTCACGGCTGCCACACTCCGTGTCGACAGCTCGAGAGGGCACCACTAAAGCATGTTTTGGATAGGCTGTATGAAGCGGTCAGGCAGGGCAGCTCACATAGCATTTGCTGAGCGATTAAGCACTGATTCGGCACGACACTTCACTGGCCACAAACAACAGCAAACACGAGGTAAAGATCAGTTCAGAACGGGGGGGCCAAACCGCAAGCCAGACCTTCTCACCGAAGGCCTTCGGAACGCTCGGAACCATCCTCAAGCGCAGCGCCGCCGAGTACATCCGGGACCTTTCTACGCTCGCCTCTCGCTGGTGCCTGATCCCACTACCCCTTTCTAGCATGCGCCGCCTTTTCCACCGCTAGGTGGCACGTATGTCGACGGGTCATTTCTTGTTTCTATACTTTCTAAACTGCATTTGTTTCTTTTTTGATCTAAAATACTGAACAAAAACTACTTTCGTAAATAATTGAGACGGTTTCCGCCGCTTATATTTTGTAGTTCGACTAAAAAGAAGCTTTTAGCGGCTCTGACCAGTAGTAAACCCAAGAACAGAAGCATCACATATTGCGCGCTTTCGGTACCGTGGGTGGCCCCCTTAAAGGGAAGCTACGGAGCTTCTTGGAAAAAATGAGTTAGAAGTGAATCCTAGTGTATTTTTACCCCGTGAACCCGAATACCCAAACCATTTGCTGCGTAAGTATTCTTAAACGCGAGAAAAACGCGAAAGACAGTCGCTGTCCATGACGTCATCGACGGCTCTTTTGGCTGCCCAAGGCTAGGGGGGCGGGGCTTCAGCCCTATTTTGAAATTGCTCTTGTGGCTCTCCGGCGCGTCGCATTGAAATATAATTTTGATATCTGTTATTCTAAAGGCCAAATGAACGCAATTTAAGCGTTTTTTCTCAAATGTAGAAGTGCCCCATCTTCCCTTTAAGTGTAGGAGGTTTCCCGCTTTGTCCGGTTAAGTATGATGCACTGATATTTAGTTACTCTCTCCGTGCCCGCTGGCTTGCCCGAACCCCAAGAGACGTGAAAACCGCAAAAAGGTAGATGCTTAAACATGATTGCAGAGCCCCTTTAAGGCCCGTTTACACATTTGCGACCTCTTAGAACTGAGAGCCTTGGAACCTCTTAATATCTCTTACGACGAGAGGACACACTGGCGCCATCTATTGGGTAGCAGTGTAAACTTGGCGGTCCGGCATATTTTCTATTTCTCTCGCACATTATCCTTTCTTCCTTGGCTCGAAAAACTTTTTTCAACGTTATAAACGAGCCTTTCTCATAGCTATTATGCACATTTGACCTTGGAAGTCCCGCAAAACTTTCGCTTTTGTGAAATGCAGTTCCAGGGTCACCGCATAGATGGTGCCAGAGTGCCGGCTTGTTCTCCCATCCTAAGAAATTTTAAGAGGTTTCAACAGGTCTTGTCTCTCTCGGTCGTACTCGGTTGCAAGTTTGTGAACGGGCCTTTACGGGAGCCATTATCACGTGCACAGATCGCCCGGGAACTTGCTATGAGCTCGCTTCTCGGATGTACTAGTACCGCAGATCGCACCGTTGATGTGCGATTCCTGTCGGACATCGCCTGACGTCCAGCGGGAAGGGAGGGGTGGGCGATGTTTTGAAATTTTTATTGTTATAGGTATTTAGCCAGAAAAATGGGATGGGCTATTTCTCAGGAGGGGGCGTCCTTACGGGATTTTACGGTACTATAGTGACTATACTTCGTTTCACCTTCAGTCCGAGCGCAGCGGACGCTACGAGCCATCCCAGCCAATCCAGCGCCGGGACAGTATCACGTGACCTTGTGGCTGGGCGGAGCGACACGCGGAGCTCGAGATCACGTGATACTCTCCCGGCGCTGGATGGGCTGGGACGGCGCGTAGCATCCACTGCGCTCGGACTGAAGGTGAAACTAAGTATAGTTACAGCCAAAAGCTGATACTAATTTGTGGTCAAATTGATAGAAATAAATATTAAAACTGAATGGATACATTTTTCATTTATGGTAAATTTGTTTCCCACAAATGTGTTTTTCCCATGCTACAAAGAGTGACGCCCATTGAAAAACATTTACTTGGTTAGGGAGTGGTAGAGTTTTGAGGGGAGAGGACATCTAAGGATTGTGGCAAAACTGAAGACTTGTCTCTCTCCATCTTTTTCGGTTGTAAAAGTGTCCGGTCGGCCGAAGGCGATACCCCTGGAACGAGTGCGCCGTTCCCGCAGCCGAACGAAGACTTGCAAGACAGCAAAGAAGCATTTGAGGTGGACCATGCGTCGACAAAACAAGAAGGTGGTTCTGCTGACGGCAGTGCAACCTGCCTGAGTGCAGAGTCCGCCACGGGCTGTGTCCGCTTCTCGACTCCTCTTTTGGGAAGACACCGCCGGAACGTCCTTGCCCTGGCTGGCAACCTGACGCCTTGCCTCAGCAAGGATCCTGTGATCGTCCTCGGGAACGAGGACGGCCCAAGCGGAGTGGCCAGGTTGCTCGACCGTCTCGTCAAGCACGCCAAGGCGAACCCGGGGAAGGCGAAGGAGTGAGTCATTGCTCCCAATTTGTTCTGCTTCAAATTTAAATTCATGTTAAGGTTTTCTTAAGGTGAGGTAAGAGGATTAAAAAAAGAAAAAGGCTCTGATTGTCGTCTGATAGAACACGAAATCCCTTTTAAAGTTTGGTGTAGAAGTATAGCACTATACGCTCTGTGCGGGAATTATGGGAGCGCTTTTAAAAACGCACGTAGCGCCACTAGCGGAGGAGTCGGTGTTCGACTGCGAGACCCTTTGTTCTTTTGTACTTTTGTTCTTCAAGCAAACACACATTGAGGGTGACGTTGCTTGAGGGATGGTGCAGACTTCCAAAAGGTTATCTAGCTGTTCTCCATCTTTTTTATATATTGCAAGAAATAAATTTAACATCTTCCATCAACCACAATGCCGGCTGGCTTCCAACGAGAAACCTTCCCGAATTCTCGAGGGTGCAATGGCAACCACTGCACTTTTTCACAAAATCGCACGAGTCATTGATGTTCATAAATTAATCTACCACGAATCTATTGAGATCTGGATGGAGAATAAAAATCAGGAGTGTTTAAATCGTGATTTAAAGGGGCCCTGCAAGGACTTTTTTACTGGTTTTTAATTTGCACCGAACCTGAGCGCCCTGAACATAATAACTTAATGAAGCCTTTCTTTTCTCAAATTTCGCTTTATTTTAAAAGTTATAGGGAAATTAAAATTTCAAAAACAAGCAAAAAATAATCTCCTTCATGACGTCCTTGGTTGCTTGAGTGACCGTGAACTAGAGGAGGGGTAGTTAGCTCAGCGAGCAATCACGGCTGCCACACCCCGTGTCGACGGCTCGAGAGGGTGCCACTAAAGCATGTTCTGGCTAGGCTGTATGAAGCGGGCAGCCAGGGCGGCTCGCATTGCATTTCCTGTGCGATTAAACACCAATTCGGCATGACACTTCATTGGCCACGAACGACAGCAAACAAGGGGTAAAGATCAGTTCAGAACAGGAGCCACTTTGCGCTGCCATATTGCGAAAAGGCCAAACCACAAGCCAAAGCTGCTCGCCGAAGGCCTCGGGAACGCTTGGAACCGGCAGGATCCTCGAGTCCGTAAACGACCGCAGTGCCGCCGCGTACATCCAGGACTTTTCTACGCTTGCCACTCGTTGGTGCCTGATCCCACTACCCCTCTCTAGTATGCGCCTCCTTTTCCACCGCTTGGTGGCGGGTATGTCGACAGGTCATTTCTTGTTTTCATACTTTCTAAATTGCATTTGTTTCTTTTCTGATCTAAAATAGTGAACAAAAACTATTTTTATAAATAATTGAAACGGTTTGCACCACTTATATTTTGTATTTCGACTAAAAAGAAACTTTTAGCGGCTCTGACCAGTAGTAAGCCCAGGATCAAAGACATCACATATCACGCGGTTTCGGCACCGTGGATCGCGCCCGTAGGTGGAGGAGGTTTCCGTGTCGTCCAGTTAAAATATGACGCACTGATATTTAGTTACCTTCCCCGTCCCCGCTGGCTTGCTCGAACCCCAAAAGACATGGAAACCGCAAAAAAAGGTAGATGCTTAAATATGATTGCAGGGCCCCTTTAAGCCACATCAATTTCACTGATGATTTTCTCACAAAACAACTTTCTCACAAAACGTTTTTTGCAATTCTGGTCTCGGAAATGTTTATTTATTTTTTGTAATTTCATGATGTGCCGTGCAAATTTATTTTGTTTTTAAACAAAAAGCATCAAGTAAACAAAAATATGTAACAGGCTGAACACAAGCAAAATGCAGTGCTTTTCTGCATGGCTCTGGCTTTGGCTCTGGTTTAGGCTCTTGTTTTGGCTCTATCTTCCACTTCGTTTATGACGGGACCTATTGCTAAATTACCCAAGCATTAAGGAGAATGCAGGGATTGGTGTTCCACATGCCACACGTGCACGCCTTCCCCGTACAAAAGATTTGAAGTAAATAACCAAAATAAAGCATTGACGAACACGCGTGAAAGATGCCATTTGTTTTAGGCATTTGCTTTAGAACAATTACTTCTGCAGACGCCGGCATGTGCGGCACGTGGAACACCCTTCCCTCAGGGTGTCTAGCGACCGGGAAAACCGGAAATTATCAGGGAAATTTTTATTACCGTGAAAAATCAGGGAACTGTCATGGTTATTGTCAAAAAGCGAGCCCAGTCAGGGAAAATGAGCCGGAAACGCCGTCGAGTGCCCCGAGCAAAGACTTGAGGGCTTGGGGGCAGAACAATAAGCAATAAATTCAGCTTAGAGGGGAGCGCGAGCTCTGCTCACCCGATGTAGAGTGTGCTACCCGACGCAAAGGGAACAGCCGACAAACGCAGTCCAAGCCTTGGATTGGATTGGATTAAAGGCGTGACACTAGGCTAGATCCAGTTAGAGCTACTATAATCAGTAACAAATAGTGAAGCCACAGACCCCAATCCACTCCAAGCCTTAAGCAGAAAGTATCCGAAAGTGTGCATCTGGTGGCTATGCTGCCATTTGGTTATTCATGTGTGTGGTTGAGCGTCGTGTTTTCATTGTGCTTTCGGAAGTGGCCTGTTCACTGACGATGTCAGCGGCAAGAAAGTGCTCGTTTAATTCGGACTGGACGTTCCTGAATATTTCAGGATATGCAAGTTGGATTAAGTCTGTGCAAAGAGATCCTTACAGTGTTCAATGCCTTTTGTTTTAATGGTCTTATATATTTAACTGCCTCTACAGTGGTCAGGGAATGTCCCCTGTAATTGTCAGCGCAAACCTGGAAAAGTCAGGGGATTTAAAAATAATGATTTGCTAGACACCCTGTCTCTGCATTCTCCTTGATGCTTGGGTAATTTATCAATAGGTCTGCTGCGTGGTACCTTGTGCAAGGTACTACGCTTATGCGAACAAGCAAAAGCAAGTATGGGTGCATGCACACGCACATACATTAACAATGGGAGTGACAGAGACAGGCATAGACAGATCTAATGGTGCATGTAAGGTTGATTTTACATCAATCAGTAGATTTATATATGTTTTGTCTTACATGAGCTTGCCACTTTTTTTTAGATTTTACCAGTGCCTCGCACACTTTAAAACTAAAACAAAAGTCACTGTCATTAAACTCTCCAACTGGGCTCGAGTTCAAAAACCATAACTTTATGTCGGTGATTTTTTTTTTTTGCTCTTTATTTTTTTGTGCTGCTTAGGCACCACAAATCTTTTAATTTGAATGGGCCTCAGAGGCAGTGAAAATAGTGGCACCATGTGCACATAACTCATAGAAAGCAACTTCATCCGGTTGGAGCTGTTTCCATGAGGTTTGACATAGGTTCGGAGAGATTACCATTTTGCTTTGCTGAAGTATTGCAGCAAATAAGGCTTTCACAATAACCAAGCTAATCAAGCTTCTTTGGTCCTAATATAACATGGTTTATAGCAAGAAAAAAAGTTTTAAATTTAAACTACACTTTACAATGTAATTAAATATACAGTGAAGTTGTATTTTTGCACTGTTTTTAGTGATTTGGCGGATTGAAGAATCACTTTCCCGTGTTTAAAAAGTCACATCCCCAGCTTTCTCTGACATTAACGCCTCGGCGCATGCACTAAAATGATAATTTCAACTGAACAGTGACAAACATCACAATGCTCCTTGGTAATACCTTAAATGGCAGTCATAAAGGCGTTTAGTTTTTATTCCTCAACTCTACAAATATTTTTTGCATTAAATTCTATGGGTTACATTCACAAAATTATTAATTTCTGCTTTTCTTGACAAAAGATTGTAATGCTCCCCGGGACTGTGATTGCCTGAGTATCATAAAATACGAATCAATTGGAATTTTGAAATTTTTTGGAAAACTTTTTATTCCACTAAGTGTCTCAGAAAGTGTGTCATGACCAGTAAAAGACAAATGATTTTTTTTTAGGTAAAGTGATTTAAATAATAAATATTTAATTAAAATTAAAAAAAAAACATTTATTTTAGTTTTAGTTATGATTTTTTTTTTTTATTTATTTAGCTGTACCAGTTATCTTACAATAATTTAATCCAAAACAATTTTGACGTTTTGTTCTGCCATCACCTACTGCCTGCCATGAATCTTAAATGTGAAAAAAAAGTGATTTCTATCTCCGAAAGGACGTTGATCAAAAAAGAAAGTACAGATCGTGTTCGATAACCGGTCCGAAAATATCATTGACATATGTGATGGAGATGAAACTGCTTTGGAGGGCATCCCTTCAACAATATATTTACTGCATACCCGCGAGCGTGGGATGGTGTTCCAGTCCGTCCCATCAACGCTAAACTATGCAGGCTGTATTAGCACAAAAAGAAACACAATGTGCGAAGGGTTGTCCAATTTGTCCACCATGCCGATACAGTCATAGACATGATTGGGAGGCCAAACTTCTTGCATCCTACAGCGCGATTGTCGTTGCTAAAAAAAAAAATAAAATAAACACGGCAGGTTGAAAAACTATGAAACTTTGTCTCCACGAGACACAACACATAACTATTGGAGCACTTAACGACGTGGCAGTTCATACTGTACATACCCCTGGTTGAGGGAGGACGTTATACGCCTCGCAAGTGGGCTCATTTTCGTCTTCTGCGCATGAGAAAGGAAGTAGCGGTGACGTCAGAACGCCGAGCCCTGATTGGCTGGTTGCGACCCCCTGTCTGAGCGTCGTCTGCTCCTTTGCAACGTCGTCTGCGTCTGTCTTACCTTTCCTGCGACTTTCGGAAGTCGAGCGAGCTCGACTTCGCTTTTCAGAGAGGGCAGACGAAATAACTCGAGCGGTACGTTGTTTTAGAGCGCAGCTCTTAGGGGCCCGTTCCCGGCTTGAGCGGCGTCGGCGTAACCAAGGTCACCTCAAGGTCATCCCAAGGTCACGCGACCCCCCCCCCCCCTTCCCGAGGTTACGTGACCCCCTCCTTCGAGGTCACGTGACCCCCCCCCTCCCCCCCGAGGTCACATGACCCCCCCCCCTGAGGTCACGTGACCCCCTCCAGGCTCACGTGACCCCACCCGCCGAGGTCACGTGACCTCCCCGATGACGTCATCGTCACTGATGACGTCACCGGCATCCGCATCGTCATCATCATCATCACTGATGACGTCACCTGCATCCGCATCGTCATCGTCATCGTCACTGATGACGTCATCAGTGACGTCACTGATGACGTCCCCGGCATCCGCATCGTCATCGCCATCATCACTGATGACGTCACCGGCATCCGCATCGTCATCGTCACCATCACGGATGACATCATAAGTGACGTCACGGACATCCGCATCGTCATCGTCATCATCGCTGATGACATCATCAGTGACGTCACTGATGACGTCATCGGAATCCGTATCGTCATCGTCACTGATGACATCATCAGTGACGTCACTGATGGCATCATCGGCATCGTCACGTGACCCCCCCCCCCAGGTCACTTGACCCCCCCCCCCAGTACCCTTTTGTCCTCCTCAAGAGCTGCGCTCTAATTCGGTGTTACAGGGAGTTGTAAATGGCTTCCACTTTTTTGTATAACAACTAGCAGACGCGCATCAAGGAGGGAAGTCAAAGGACTCACTGGCGAGGTGTCTCGGGGCACCGAGATTTGCTTGCTAAGAACCGAGAGTGAGCGTGTTAGTGTCTGCAAGTTCCCTCCCAAATACTTTTTCTCTCCTTTCGTGTGCGGCGAGACTCCTCACTCTTTAACGGCGTCGGCGGGTTGGCGCAGTTAACGTCGTCTGCTTTACGTCTGCTAGACAAAGCGATGGCTGCTTTACTTTTCCTGCGTCTGTCGAAAATTCACCGCTTTTTTTCCGGCGGGAGTCACCGTTGCCTCGGAAAACAAGGAGATGACAAGAGGAAGAGATTGACCTCTTAATCTAAAATTGAGGTCAGCGATCAAAGTATAAGACGGGAAGGGTTCACAAGGGTCGCGCAGGCATATTCCATTCAGCACGCCAGCCGGTCGTGGGCAGACGGTCGCCGAGTCGGAGTGCCTGCTAGGCCTATCTGCCGTGCTCGCTTGGTCGTTGTCGGTGGAATCGTGGCCGTTGGAGCTTTTCCCAGGTGTTTGTGGATCCAGCGTTCTTGTTCGTCGTGGTCTGTTTCAAGTACTTCCTACTTTTTTCTTGCTGCTTGAAGTCGGGACGCGTGAGAAGCGCACATAGAAAAATAAACATCCGTTGGTCGTCGCGACCGCGACGCTGTCAGCAATGCTGATTTGATCGTAAGAAGTGCATAAGACAGCTTCGGAGCTGTCGTAGGATTTCGTCGTAACCTGCGCAAAACTTACGATAATTTCGTTTCGTGAATACGAATTTGTTCTTAAGTTTTGTCTTACGCATATTTTTGGCATAAGATCATTTTGTGAACCTGGCCTCTGGCCTCTGCACTTTCGAAAGTCGCAGGAAAGGTAAAACAGACGCAGACGACGTTGCAAAGGAGCAGACGACGCTCAAATAGGGGGTCGCGATCAGCCAATCAGGGCTCGGCATTCTGACGTCACCGCTACCCCCTGCGCAAGAACCAGACGAACTTGCCCTCCGCATTCCTTCTATTGCACTGCGCGATGAGTCCCCACCGTCCCCACCAAAGAGACGATAAATCCCGTTAAGTGATTCGTCGTAAGTATGTTGCGGTGGCGTAGGCGAGCTGGGCGGCGACTGAGGGGTCGGCGGTAATTGACCTTTTTCAGAGTTCGTTGAAGCGACCGTGGCGCACCCTTGTGGAGATAATTCAAAACGTTTGCGGGCTCAGTCCGTCCTCCCGTCACCCCGTTCGCTTCCTAGACGCGATCGTTTTGGTGCGTTCGTTGTGGAAAGTTTTTCTCGCTGTTTTCCGGCTGTCGTTCTCTACAAATGGCTGATGACGATCCCGGAGGATCGAGTAAAGCAACAGTCTTCGACACTTCGGACTTTATCCGTCTGTACGCTTTTCAAGACGGATGGAGTGCCGATGCTGCATCGGTACCGGTCGTCAACACAGCGTACGTCGATTGGTACTTGGCGAAGGACTGCAGACAACTTTGGAAAGGATGGGCCTTCAAAGAAGCCTACGTCAAAAAGGTCACGGTGAACAACTTTGATCCCGACCACACCGTTCACCTTGTAAGGAGCACGTGTGCACCGTCTATGAAGCCGGGACATTACAGGCAACTGATATCGCTTTCCAAGAGCGCCGATATCGTTCAAGCGTCTTGCGACTGCGTTGCAGTGTGAGTTTATTTCTTCGGTAAAACCCGTGGCGATGTAATAATGTGTCTTAAGGATTACAAGATGTGTCAATATTTGTAAGGCGTGAGCCCCATAGTCGCTATCCTTTCGGCAGATTTGTATCAAGATCCGTGTGTACCAGTCCTTTGATCATATTTTATGCGTGACGCGATAGGTTATCTAGAAAAACAAAACAAAAAACAAGATTTGTCATCTCCGTCTTTTTTTGTGGTACTTCAGCATGCAACTAAAAAGGGCCAAGCTATGTCATCGATCTACTTATCGAACTAGGTGACGTGTTGATATAAAATTCTGTAGTAGGACATTTTTTTATTTCATATTTTAATGAGTTTCAAGCGTAAATATATACTTTGCAGGTTGAGCGGAACATGCCAGCACATAGCTGGCCTGCTCTTTACACTATGCGACAGTGTAAAGATCTGTTTTCCGTGACAACGGCTTGGCGACCCGCCTCTTCGCTGCCCTGCTGTACCGTGCAAGCAGACTCGGTGCGGAGGCAGGTGTCGGCTTCCATGTAAACAAGGAGGGAGCGAAGTCTGGGTGGTTCTGGTCTCGTGAAGATACCCCTGCGTCGTAAAAATCAGGAACAAAAACCTTGCTATGAATGACTAGCCTGCACGGAGTATGACGGGTATATCCTGAGTTCAAACAAATATGAATGAACTAACCTCCAATGAAGTGGACGCTGCAAACACGCGAGTTCGCAGATGGCTGCCAAGGCGTCCCGTCGGAGCTCTGGCGTCGCAGCGCTTGAATCCATTTTTCTCTCTTTTTGAGGTGCGCGGTAGCTTTCGGGAATCTAAAGAAGCTCACGTTCGGCGTGTTTTTCTTGCTGTTTGTACATCCAACAGCCGAGCAGCGGTGAGGCATCGCGACAGTGCCGGACAGACGCGCCTAGCAATGCGAGCGAAGCCAGGCAGCGTACGAGGAGAGCCCGCAAAGATGGCGCCTTTCCCTTTCCTACTCTCTCCTCAAGTTCGGGCATGCGCACAAAATTCTCCGAAAAAGGTCAATTCTGGGGCGTCCTCGTAAAGAGGCATTCCAGATTCCCGCGTCCTTAGGAACATCTCCCGTTCTGTTGGCGTTAGGTCACTGAATGGGAGCCCGAACTTGCTCGCGAGAGCAGCATTGTCGTCGATGTTGACAGGTCCGGCAAAACGACTGCGCCACCTCGCTGCTATAACCGACTGCAGTAACCAGAGTCTCGTTCTCCTAAATGCTACCCATACCGACAATGCACACTTGAAGCCACCTCCTATGTCACCTCCGTTTTCAGAGGCCTTGAAATGAAAATGGAGATAGTTTAGTTTCTGTTTCTTCAGTTCTTTTGTAGGCACAGTAATACGCATCACAAATGTCTATAAAAAATTGGGCAGTGTGCTAGGTTCTCAGGAGGCCTACAAACACCATTTTAAAAATTAATCAAAATCGTCTTCATTGTCCCTTTAACAAAAATGCAGCTGAAATCATGAAGGTTGTTTTAAAGCTTTCACCTGTCCATTTTTAACTGTTAATTATCATCTAACTGTATGTATAGCTTGTGGCCCCAGAAAGTCCAATGCCTACATTGGATTTCTAGATATATGCAAATATCTTTTCTTCAATCTCGAGCTCAGAAAAAGAAAGACAGTCACAAATGATGAATGCAAGTTGTGAGGACAACTCTGCCTAGCAGAACTTTTGTATAATAACCAGTTTAGTTTTTAACGTTTTTATTTCTACACAGATATCAAGGTTGACAAGGTTTTTTTGTGTCCTTTTAAATATATGCGCGAGCACCATCGCACCCTGAAAGTGTGGTTTTCTCCTCTGCAAGCGACTGCGATGTTCACACTTCTCAAAGTTGCACAGAATAGCCCTGTTGAGTGCTCTTCTTACCGATCACTGCAGAGCAGCAACACCCGCGGGTGTTGCTTTTCTGCAGTGCACTTGCGCTTGGTAAGAAGCGCGCTCAACAAGGCTAACCTGCCGCAATAAGCACTTCGAAAAACAATAATGTTGCAGTTTGTCTTGAAGCAAATATCAAATTGCATATTATTTGAGACGTATTTGAATATTTGCACAATCCTAGTAGTTTTCAGCTACTTTGTTTCTCCAAATAGTTTGTGAATTTCATTACAATGATTAGAAGGAGTTTGCAATGGCTGACAGTCCGCCTGGATGAGGCATGCAATTAAAAATGGACGCAACTTTTTTATGCCTCTTTTCTCTTTGATATCATCCTTTGTATTAAGAGAAAGCTGTTCCACTAGACCATTTCAATAATTGCCTTCTGCATGCTGATATCTTTGTCTAATGGGCAGTCAAGTACCATCCTGAGCACGCACTCTCCTCTGGAGAACATTGTACGCCGTGCACACAATCGCAGCGTAACGATTCCGCATTTTTCACCTGGGTGGAAAGATGCTTAAAACACAACAGACCAAATCATCGCCACACTCGTTTAGAGCACCCTCGGATGGAGCGAATTCCTGCCATTCGAAATTGGACAGTCGCTTCTGCACCGTGCTCATTAATGTTTTGGTTTGGCTTCTTTCAGGCAGCCAAAGGCCAGTGTGACTCCCAACGTTGGTCTCTTCGAAGAAACTTCCATTCCAAAATCAGGTTAGTTTCAAGTTCTTTGTGCGTGATCAGTTTACCTAGTTTTTGGTTACTGCCACCGTTCGGTGTAGGAGGCTGGTTGCCACCTTTTTTGTGCACTTCAGAGGTTTAAATCTGACTAGCTCACAAACAATTTTTAAGACCAAAAGCTTGTTCAGGGAAATGTGTGTTACAACTAGGAAACTGTAGTGGTAGTACTACTGTGCGGGTCAACTGAATTAAGCACACATTAAATTACCAGAGAGAGAGAGCGAGAAAATAAGCGATAGTTCTGGAGAGATTGAAAAGGTTGTGGAACACATTACCATATTTTTTGTTTACTTAGTCACTCCTTTGTATAAATCGCATCCCACTGAAAATGACTGTTTTCAGAAAAAAAAATTGCTATACATGTCACACATATATTTGTACAGTCGGCGAGGCAAAATTGCATTGAAAAGAATGCATAGTATGTGTATTATGACTATAATGCATGCGCAAGCAAAAGCAAGTTTCAATATTGTTACCATTGAATCGAACAAGAGATATACCATAATATTCCTAAAGATAACCCACCTAAAATCGAAAGCAAATTGGCTGAAAATAAGGAGCATGACTAGCTTTGGTGTGCGTTAAAAAAGTTGAAAAGATGCAAGCTTTAGTTTTTTTGAGCTACAACACTTGTGATCGAAGGGAGGGGCAGTGAATCAAAGACGACTGCCCTTCCCAGTCAGCAATTTTCGCTTTTCTCCCTCCGTGGCAAAGTACCCTAAGACCATTTCTGCCGAGGTCATCAATGGCCAGGACCCTACAATTACTACAAGTGGGTTATCTTTCTGTTTTTGTAAAAAATAGCAAATCATGCTAAAATAGGTGTGGGTTATCTTCTGGGGGTGGAACGTTCTCGGGATATTATGGTAACCACCATGGCAAATTTCCACAGTTAAGGTCTACACATGTAGAAAAACATTCATATAAGTTCACTATTGTATCAAACGCACCGACAGAAATTGTGGAAAAATGTTTGCCTCGTACACCGGAAAATATGGTATATCGGGCGGATCAGTTTTACCAAGTGCGGTACTGTACTTTGCCACTGGGGAGAAGGCTCTTGCATATTTGTTTTTGTAAGATATCCAAATAACCGAACATGCGATTGCTCCTTTTCACCTTTTTGTGTCTGCTCGTCTGGAGAGACCCTTCATTCTTTGCCTAACATAAACTCACATAATAACCACAGTTTAATTTTGAAACTTTTTGTGGCAATGTAGATATCAACATTGATTAAGTTTCAAGTATTTTAAATACACCAGGCACTCGTGTGTACCATCCCGACTTGAAAGTGTTCTTCCTTTCCAATTGCGCGGCTGCGCTGTGGTGAAGCGAGCTCCACGGGTATTGCTTCTTCGCAGTGCTCAATAAGAAAGTGTGCTCACTGGGGCTGACCCTTCGCGATTGACACTTTGAAAGGTACAGGTATTGCGGTTTAGCTCGAAACGAATATTGAATAGCATACTGCACAGGCCTATTCATCCCTTACGCACGAAGGAACACATTTCGGTCGGCTCGCTGTCTGCATAAGCCAACCACTAAAGACCGGTCGTTGTCCGCGCCCTGCAGGGCCGGGCCAGCTGGTGGCTCTACGGGAACAGCTGCTGAGGAAGGTGCGCCAGGAGCGTCACCGCTCGCGGCAGGAGCGCTTCCAGCAGAAGCAGTTCTACGACGAGGAGGCTCTGCCGCCCGGAGCGGACTCGCGCTCCGACGACCCCCTTGCAGCTTTGGGAGACGAGGAGGAAGAGGAGATCCTCTCAGACGTGGAGAGCGCTTCTTCGGGTGCGTAACTAACAACGACGAGGAGACAGCAAAGAGGAATGCTGGTCACGGGTACCCGTGAGCAACATTCCTCTTTGCTGTCTTCTCGTGGGAAGACAAAACAAATTACCTGTTTCTGGCTTTTAGAATGTTGTTGCTGAAGTCTGCCTGAAACCATGGTCTGTCGCACAAATTACACACTGTGCCAAACGGATTGTCCGTGAACTGGCGCTCGAATCGCCAGTCGGCTGCATTGTAATGGCAACCGTGTTCCTGTTGCTGCCGAGCCTGGCATTCTTGTTTTGCTTCTGGTTTTCTTGCTTTTTCACCTTGCTGCACTCGCTGTTGCTACTGTGCCGCTTTGGGGGTACGCAAATTCTGCAGTCAAGAGCCTTCGTAGCATGCATAGTTCACTTTGCTGCCGGTGAGCGGGCGCCATGGAAAGTCTCCGCTTCAAAAGCAGACTCCGATTGCGTGCAGAAAGCGTAGTCAGCGACTGCAGATTTCGTGCCGTGCGGCCTACAGAGGTTACGTTCTAGGCTCGGACATGACGGCACTAAAAGCCGGTCGTATAATTGCTGAGCATTTAAAAATTGAACGCTCCTTTGACCTATGACCCAAGCGTCCCAAATGCAAAATGCGTTAGCAATTTATCTGCAAATCTAGGCAACAAGTCAATGCATTGTTATGGTGTCGAGACCTGGTATCATGCTATGTAATGTCATGTGGCATAGTGTCATGACAATATCACATGACATATGGGATGTGATGTTACACCATGACTGGACACCCAACGTTACTATACTTTGTTTCAGCTTAGGTACGAGCGCGGCCTATGTTATGAGTCAAAGGGCCAATCATACAGCGCAAAAAGCGCAGCGTCATGGCGTGCTCTCTGCACTTTATAGAACTATCCGGCGGAGGAGCACACACAGAGAAACGGCGAATACTGGCTGGTCCTATCAACCGCAGAAAGCACACCATGACGTTGTGGCTCTTTTGCTGTTTGATTGGCCCTTCGGCTCATAACGTCGGCCGCGCTCGAACCTAAGCTGAAGGGAAGTATAGATATAATCACATTATTGACACCACAACGTCAAACTGTGGTGTCATGTGATCTGGCGTGGCCTCGTGCACGTCGCATGGTTACGTGATTTGTACTGGCACGAGCTACGCAACCACGCTGCACTGTCTAAACTTCTCGCCTACAGTGTAGATACTGGATGCCTACTGGGGCTGACTAACTTCCCGCCTCCTAAACATGCACGCAATGCAATTATCTTAATATTTTAAAAGAAACTGGTTACTCGTCTTGCTTTTACTTTTACTCTTTCAGTTTTTCTTGTCCCACAAAATTGAGCAGGACGTGAGGCCATCGCTGCCTTGTCACTCTCGTTGGTACAAATCCCGACTCCACTTTCGTTAAGATGCATTCTGCGTTAGTAATACTCAATTGCAAAAAGAGGATGTTGCAAGGCAGAATGTGTCCAGCGTCGAGTAAGCCTAGTTCTGTCATAGTTGCCTGGTGGACAGAATGGGGAACACAAAGCTTTTGAATATCACATATCAGAATTTCTAGTTCTCCTAATAATTGTGAAACTTGGTACACATATTAAGTAACCTAGAAAGACTTTTTATCATGGATGTCCCAACTTTTCTAACTTGATTCTCGCATCGTGGCCTCTTTAATTCTCCAGCAGACGACAACGACGGCGCCGACACTTCGGACGAAGAGGAAGTGGTTGCATCGCGCAAGAAGTCGCGTCGAATCAATCCCGTTCTCGAGGACGACGACGACGAAGACATTCCTTCTCCGAAGAAGAACGAAGGTCGGCCTCAGAAAGTCCACGACGTGGAAGATGACTCGGACGACGGCTTTCTAGAGCTGCCCGCATTCGACGATGCAGACGACGAGGACGAACCCTCCGCGTCCGGCGCACAGGAATCTCGAAGCCAGCGTGAGTTCTATTTATTAATTTCAAGCCCATGCAGGGCCGATCAGCATGATTGAAAAGAAAACAATTTTTGTGGCAAGCCAAGGTTTGTCTTTTGGTTCTTCCATTGATATTTTAGGGGACATTGGTGGCCGAATTTCATAACACACGAGTTCTGAAGCATTTTTATCTCGAGGAATCTCTATCTGCTTTGGAATGGCAGCCAAGAAACCTCCCGGGGTTTCAGCACTTATAAAGAAAAGCAGTGCAGAAGCCTACTGACCTTGTAAGCAGCAATGCTCCACCACGGCCGGACTGGAAACGCGCGCTCTCTTTCTCTTCTTACGGCCTTTGCAATTGGGGCAATCGCCACCTCCCGCCGCAAATCGCAAGGGGCGCTGTCACCTCACCCCTTTTTAAACCCTGGGCTACCCTTTTTCGTTTGCACAGAGTGTGTCAGACAGTGTATCTCAGCGCTGTCGCAACTTGCGGCCGAGATTTTTATAGCCTTTGACACCTGATCCTTCCGTTTAGACCCTCAGCCACTATCTAATGCGCTTCTGATGAGCCGAAAACGGTGAATATTTGACGCACATCTCCGAGAGATTCGGGAGTAAAAAGTAGTAAGTAAAGACAGCGAATGCGATTGCGGAAAAACTATACTCGTCTTTACCTCCAGGACTTCTGTTGCAACTCAAGAACAGGAGGAGACGGACCCCTTCTACGTGGAGGATCTTTAAATGATAAATAATTCGTACGCTCTCGTGAAATGTAAGCAGACCCAATCTATCTATTACCGTGGTCTGCATCATCCTTTCATAGGCCGCACATGAAGTCGGTCAGCTGCTCTAGACGAGGGTGTAGTAGTTTGTACAATTTTCGCACAGTGTATAATACAGCCTAAAGTGCTTCCTCGAGAGCTTGTGCACATATCCAGCTGTTTTTTTCGTTTCTGTCCGTGACCGTCTTTGCATGGTTAATCAGAAGTATTCTGAGGAATTTGTTGCGAATTAAACCAGCCAAGTGCTTTGAGTGTATGTTGTCAATGCCCTCTGGTCAACTTAGGATTGGCAGGTCTTCAAGATAAAGTGCAATGAGTTGCACCCTATCTAGTTGCAGAACTTCGTGCACATCTGTACGCGAAAGGTGCTTAACAGCCTTTAAAAAAAAAAAAAAAGCAACAATTTTGTAGAATTGTGAGGAACCTAGGATTTAGATAATCAAGTCCGCTTTGATCCTGCCCTTGCAATAAGACGAACAGAGGATCAGCTCATAGTCTACAGCATAACACAGGCGTCGCACCCAAACTCAATAATGAGTTTCACCAGATAGCCGCCGACATACACCGGACCAAAGTTGTCGAAACAACAACCTACGAAGCTCGAACACCAGCGCAAAGCAGCTCGAAGGGACTCTCCGAGTGGGGTGAGGTGGTTGTGCCCCTGGCGGCAAGCAAGTAAACTACATGCGGAGAAAAAGTGCCATTGACTCTCGGGCGATTGCAAAGGCCGTAAGAAGAGAAAGAGAGCACGCGCTTCCAGTCCGGCCGTGGCTCCACAATGTTTGGCTCACAGTTATCAATTGGTGGCTCAGATCTGCTGAAATGTTGCTCAAACTGAAAAAAACACTTGGGGTAGGAGTAGGAAATTTTGGAGCTCGGTGACCTTCTCTCAGTTAACTCCGTGTAGCGAAAGCTCGCACTGCAGAACCCGGAAATCCTTGGTTCAATCCCCACCCCCGCCTCTTTCGATCTGGATGAGCATCGTACCGGCGTGCGGTCGTGTATCACTACTGCGGGATGTGCATTAAAGACCCCAGGAGCGGTTGTACTGCACTGGCTAATTTGCTCATCTACAGCTGAGACACGAGATGCCTCTTGGGGCTGACTAACTTCTGCCTTCTAAACATAATCTACAGAAACATGTTGATATTAAATGACTGTATTCTGCTTCAAGAAGATGTCAACGCCATATGTCAGTGGTGTCTCGAGAATGGTCTTACATTCAACTTTGAAGAAAACAATGCTATATCTTTTACCCACAAGACTAATCCTACTTCTTTTGCGTTGCACTTAGAAAGAGCAGCCATTAACCTTGTACTGTGTGTAAAAGACCTTGGAGTTTTTTTTTACTTTAAACTTTCAACTCGCAAGAGTCACATGTTGTTAACTCTTGTTTTAGACTTCTCGGTGTAATCTCACGATATAGCAAAAGTTTTTCGAGTGGAGTTTTTTTAGTATTTGTGTTTTATCGGAGCATAGTTCTCCCAAAACATGATTTTCGTTTAGTGATCTGGAACAGTCTTAGTATGACTGCTTCAAAAAATCTAGAACGTATACAGAAAAGGTTTGCTAGAATTTATCATTTTAGATGTTCACATGACTTATACGTATACCTTGAAGCACTGAAATCATTACAGATATCTGAACTTGCAACTAAATGGTGTTCGTGCAACCTTGTATTTTTATTTAAATGTATGCACTCTTACTTCGACATTAGCTCATTAGTCTCATCTGTGCACTATCATATACCTGGAAGAAATGTTTGAAACCACCGCACGTTCCACATTGACCCCACAAACCTTATGTCGCCATCAGCTCGCATTCAAAACTATTTAAACCATCTAGACTCATCTGATATAGACATTTTCACTACAGATTTGTGCCGATTTAAAAAGTGCTTGTGCCATGTATGTGGTTGATGCATATATGTAGTCACTGCTGAGTATTTTGTTCCATTTTCTTGTTTGCATTTCTTACCTTCCTTATTCTTTATTATTTGTATTCTTGTTTACTACTAACGAGCGCACCAGTGCTTAGGCTTCGGCCGCCACTGGGCACAATAAATAGAGGTAATATTATTATACACGGCAAAAATGACTTCACTCTTTTAAAACGGACTGGTTACTTTACAATCTTACTTTTTTGGCACTTTTACTCGTATCCTTTGGACGCTCGGTGCACATTCGTGTTGACAAGAAGGACGTCTGACGAGACATTTATTACGTTTAAGTCTTGATGCCAGCAAAAAATATTTGCATCTCAAAAATCACTTTTGTTTGCGTGTGCAAATTGCCCGTTGAGGAATCAGGGCCTTCCCCCCTTTTTCTTTCTCATCAATGTGTGATGGTAACTTAGAACTTGGTTTATTTTATAAGTGATAAGCTTTCTGGGGGACACTTGCGTTAGTGGAAATATTATTGAATTTGTAAAACATAATTTTTGTGATCACCATAACCCTGAAAACATGTTGATTTAGAAACTGGATGCACAGTTGCGGGTACTGAAACAACCCACATTGCTACCGGCCCTCTGTTGTTGTATTCTTTTGTGCCAGTATTCCAATTTCGGTTTTGACTTTCTTTTTTTTCTTCTCAACAAATATGGGACTGCCACGAAAAATATATATCGTATTTACTCGCATAATGAACGCACCCCCCACAACGCATACCATTATTTTGACCTTTTCCCCCCTCGCATAATGAACGCACCTCCAATTTTCGGCTCCGCGAGTCTCGAACTGCGTCCACTTTAGCGAGCCATCAAGCCAATTTTCTTTTGCCGCCAACCGGTCAGGCCAAGTTAAGCCGCTCTCGTAATGGCTGCAAGTGCGTAGTTGCAGAAGTGATCAACCGTGAAACTGAGTGACGCTCACACTTGACGAAGCTTGGGTCAAGGAATTGCCCAGCCCCGGACATTCTTCGCTTGTCGGATGCATTGATGTCAACAAACACACCGTCGTTTGTGGTTCGCTTTCGGACAGTGAAATCGTGAAAGTGGTTAGGCCTAAGAATGGTCGCATTGCTCTCCATGCTGAGTGAGCTTCATAGGGCGCTTTTTCTTCGGCAGAAGGCACGCCGAAAGTGCCTTTAAAAGGTTCTCAATTTATAGAGCACGGTTACTGTGGCGCGCCCCCAACCAGCCGTGGGTGCATTTCATCAGTGGAGACATGCCACAGTACCTTGCTGTGTCATATTGGCACCTAATATGACATTTGCACGAAGAGTGTAAAGACAAAAATTTTACCCCGCGTAACAAACGCACGCAGCTGCCAAATATGTGTAAATTTTTGGGGGAAAAAAGTGTGTTCATTATGCGAGTAAATGCGATAATTTGGTGGCATAAAAGCGATGCGAAATAGTTGGAGTGTCATGTGACGCAGTTGTAGTCATTACGAGAGCAGCTTGGCTTGTCTTGACTTGGCATGGCCGCTTGGCAGCAAAAGAAAGTTTGCTTGGTGGCTATAGTCTGTTACAGGCACTGATTTCTATGTCTATTTGCTGGATCGCGTTTGCCCGCTTCGCGAATGCGGCCACTGGTAGCCATCTTTTTGGTAGAGTTATATTACCTCTAGCCAATGTACAGCTGGTGCAGCCACTATCATCCATCTATGGCAGGCAGTGTTTTGGCAGTTGTGGTGGCAGGTGTAATAAAAATAGCTGTGGGTGATATTTTGTTCTTGATTGAAATTATTCGACTCAACATATTGTTAAAACCCGGCTTGAACGGTGGCCTGATCTTTGAGGACCCGGTGAAAGTTTCACGAAATCGCAGCACCAGGGAAAAGCAGCACAGCACGCATCAAAAGAAGCATCGAAAGCAGACGCCGGTACGGTGTCTGCTTTCGATGCGAGCTGCGCTGCTTTCCCCCGGTGCTGCGCGTTCGTAGAACTTTCGCCGGGTCCTCAAAGATGGGGCTACCGTTCACGCCGGGTTTCAAGAATCTGCTTCATCAAACAATTTCAATCAAGCACGAAATATCACCCACGGTACAGTGTACTAGATCTACGGCTATTTTTATGGCAGCCTGCCGCCATAGCGCTGTCCGCCTTATTAATATGATGGCTAGAGATGATATAACTCTACCAAAAAGATGACCAACCATGGCTGCATTCCTGTCCATAGGCAGAGCTGGTGAAATGCGATCCAGCAAATATACATAGAGATGAGTGGTTACAGGTTAAGAAAAGTTTTCGAAGGAAAGGAGGACAGGGGAGGAGGAGGCAGACGAAATGCTGGAGAGGAGGAGACCTCCTCCTCTTTTTAGCATTTTGTTTGCTTCCTCCTCCCCAGCCAGAAAACTTTAGTTGGATGCAGTTTGACAATCGCAGAGCCGAAAATTGGATGTGCGTTCATTAGTGAGGGAAAGAGAAGTCCAAATTTTGTAGCCCATTGTGGGGTGTGTGTTCAGTATGCGTGTAAATATGGTATATATGTATATATAAGGAAAAATAAAAAAAGAAGTAAATGTATGTAGGTATGTTCATATGTATCTTCTTAATTTGCAAGGCATTCCAAACCTAAGGGTACGGGCTTGTGACCTTTTGTGGTGGTCTACCTGTACAGAGGTAAATAGTAAAGGATAGCAATATCAATAAAGAAAGAAAAGAAAGGAGTAAGACAGGGTGCCTCTTTCTCTCTGACCTGTTTCAGTCGAGGACGATTTGAAGGACCCACTTGGTGCCGGGGGAGTGGCTTCAGCGGCCTCGGCTCTTTCTCCAGAACGTGCTGACAAGAGTTTCCAGTCGGACGAACCGCTGGTCTTCAGCCCACTCACGGGCCTGTTGAGCGTTCGGCGGAAACTTGTGAGTCACCGCCGTAGAATTCGCCTCATGTCGTCACATCCTAATTACTGTCGTGGTTTTAACACAGAGTGTGTTTTATGGGGCGTTTGCTACGAGCGTCATAACAACCGTTATCATGAGCGTCGTGAATGAGTGGCACGCTGTTAGTGTTACGGACATTAAGATTTTATATAAAGCTGCATAAACCCGTGTCAGTGCTGTGGCAGTCGGATGTCGTATGCACTGAGCTGCACAACTGGCCTGGAGGGTTAGAGTATTTTTATTCGAATGCAACTGTGCCGGTGAGAGTGGCAGGTTTTGGGTGAAAATCATCATCATCATAAAGCCTTTATTTGTGCCAATAAACAACCAATAATGGTCTGCAATGGGGCAGAGTGAAACAGTTGTACAGTTGTAGAATGTGCTGAGCAATACTTATTTAAAAAATGCACATAATAAAACTTGCATGCAACCAGACACAACAGCGCATTGCTAGCGGAAAATATAAAAAATATAATAACAGACGAATAGAAATGTGCAACAAAAATGAATAAATAAAAAAGGAAGAAAGTAAACAAAATCATGCAATAAAAATTAAACAATAAAATATAAAATAAAAATAGATATTAAGACAATTGAAAAACCTTGCACAAACGACACACTGAGTGTGGTTTGTGCAGGGACCATATTGTGTTTCTGGTCATTGTCAGCATGATCAAGCCTGTATAATGTTTTTCTCAAAATGAACTTTTTCTGTTACTTGGATTGCTAGGGAAAGGAATGTTAGAAACTACCGTAAAGTTCCGAGAGAACGCCCACCCCCTAGAGATCGCCCATCCCATTTTTCTGGCTTAATATTAGTAACATAAAAATTCCGAAACATCGCCCACACCCGATTCCCGTAGAACGTCACGCTATGTCCGACGGGAATCGCATCAACCGCGCAATTTGCTGTATCGGCACGCCTGACAAGCGAGTTTATAGCGGGTTCCCACGTTTTTGTCCGCGATCTGCGTGCGCAATATTGGCTTCCGTAACACACGAGTTGTTCCCACATGTATGTTGCACCATGAAATGCGAATCTGAACAGAGTTTGCAGCGGATTAGCGCATTTTTGTCTGCGATCTGCACATGCAATATCGGTTCCCGTGAAAGGCAAGTTTGTAGCGGAATCTGCTGCGCCCGCAACCTGCGGTATCCTTTCCCGTGACACAGGAGTTTGTAGCGAATTCCCGCATGTTTGTCGCATTGTGAAACGCGAATTTCCGGGGTCCACAATCTGCGGCATCAGTTCCTGCGTAACGTGGTTTGTAGCCAGTGCCAGGGTGTTTATCATTCATTTTGGATAGTTTTGCTGTAGCATCTTCAAAGATAGCCCACCCCAAGGTTTTCAACATTTATCTGTTCATTATGGGTGGGCGTTCTTTCGGAACTTTACGGTACATATGCATCCGACTTGAATTCTCTTCGTTGTTAATGTGCCTTCTGCAAAAGTCCCAGAACGCCTCGCACAAAGTCCTTTTTGCTCCCGCGTGATACTGAAGAGAGCGAGGCAGTAGGGGGGGGGCACAGTTTGCTCTCCGCCACTTCCAAGGTCACCTTCGTCGTCTGCTACAACCGGTTGTACCCCAAGTTCTCAACAGCCTCTTACTGCGCCACGGACAGCAATGCATTTTTAGTAAAAGGTGTGTTGTAAGTCTTCAGAAAAGCGAATGAAGCAATCGGTGAATCGATGCACGTGACTTTCAGTTTCTGTGACGATCAAAACAATTGCAGTGAAAGCTAATACACCAGGTAGTGTTATGGAGAAAAATAACATGTTTTGTCGAAGCAAAAGTAAGCTATGCATGCATTGCTGAATGGTCTGTCTCCACCCAAATGTAGCGCTTCTGGTTGGCACTAAATGCTGAAATTTCACAACTTATTGCTGTCTAATTCAAAGGTTATAATCTATTTTCTTAAATTTTCAATAACAAAATGGTGTTAGTTCTCGGTCGCGAAGGCCATTTGTCTTTATGAATTTACTGGCTTTTTACCAGCAATTTTCTCATTGAAAACTTCCGAAACCCCCTTCAAACTTTTGAGTTGGGTAACGCAAAGTTGTGAAGCTGGCATCTGGGTCCCACCACTAATGCTTCATTTGGGCTGAGATGGGGTGTTCAGCGATGTATACTTCATTTTTGTGGTGAGAAAAAGTTGCAGCTGTACGCGACGTATCGATCAAGCTGTCATATGCAGAATTGCAATTTACAAAAAACGCAGTACAAGCCGCCGCATTTTTTCAAAAATCGCCTGGTCTTTTTTTTTTTTTTTGATGACAATGAGAGTACACAGATTGAGGTGAGACACTGTCTCGTGGCGCCAAGGATGATGCATCATCTATGCATAATACACACGTGCAGTTGGTTGACGGCACGGGAGTTTACCAGCTGGTCAACTAGGCCAACCGCTACATACTCTGAGCACGTTATTGGCACATGCCTAAAGACTGGATGAGTGGTATTTTCCCGCTCAAAGCCAATGTCAAACTTTTGTGACCAGGTTACTTATTGATATGTTTACGGTAAGTATAAACTAGGGTTCAGAGAATATTATAAATTTTGAATGTGAATCGACTATTGTTAATATTGTAACGGATTGAAAATGGTAGAACGCTATGGCTGCTTTTATACCGCCTCCGTGTTCGCTATTGCTCTAATCCAGAACATAAATAAACATTGAGAATGAACTGGAATCTTCTAGAGGAGGAACGAAAAGGAAACTGGTGGGACTCGAAGCCAGCTCATCCACGCTGCCAACTCGGCTATGCCCGTGGCACTACCGTATTTGCACGGATATAACGTGAGGGCAAGTTTTGATGCCCTCAAAAAGGGAAAAAAAAATGTTATTACTATTATACCGTGAGCTGAGGCCGCGTAAATTTACCACCCTCAGGGGCATAGCTGAAGTGAAAAGGCAATGGAAATCAAAGAAATATCAGTTTATGTTTTGACTGCACTGATCCTTATTGCTCAGGTCCTCCCGTCTGCAATCCATTTGGCAACTTCGCAGATATGCGGCAGCACGGCGTCGCTTGTCTAGTAGTTCCTTTTTCTTTTGTTATTTTTTCTTCGGCGTGAGCTCCTCGGCAGCCCAGATGCAGAGCGAGGCAGGAAGCTGAAGCACTAGCGCACAAACACCAGACCACTCTGGAGCAGAAACTAAAAAATGTGCAGACAGAAAAATGATTGCTTGACCCAGTACATGATCGCAATCATTCTTGTTCAGGTCCGTTTGCATAAACAAACTCTTCATGTTGCACGATTGCATAAACACGGTCGGTGGTATTGGCTTGGCTTGTGTTGACTTGACTTGGTCTGGCTTGACTTGGCTTGAATTGGCCAGTGCCCGCATTCCCGCGTTGCGTGCTCCATTTCTGCGGAGTGCTTTTCGGCGTGGGCTGTACAAATATAAAAACAATAAAAATGTTTATGTTTTCTATTGTCTTTTTCACGTGGCCCAATAGCTAATAAATTCCCTCCCACATCTCCAATTCTTTTCCCACAGACTCGCGCACCTTGTGACTGAACTCGATACCGAATATACCGCAAGGTGCGTTTCAGAGCTCCTAATTTCGAAAAAAAAAAAAACTCGCATTATATGCTTGAAAATACGGTATTTGATTCGTATTCGATCTGATCACTTTCCGTTCTGAACTTCGCAAATATCTGTCACAGTCACGTATATTTGGGCAAAGAACGAATAAGTGCCATGCGGGGTTTTGGTAGTACTCGCACACCCTTAGTATAAACTAGAAAGTTGTTAGCTTCCCATTAATTGGCAATATTCTGATGCCAATCGCAGCCAATTCAATACCGGAAGAATGCTGCTAGCTTGCACTGCTGCCCTTTTGTCGAGTTTTTTCCCCAACCAACTTTTATACAAATGGTGTAATCATTTTTCTCCTGAATTTCTGAGTTTCTTCACCATACCCAACATAGAGACTAAAAACAGGTTTGATCGCAGCTGTGCTAGAGAATAGAGTGGCGTCTTTTAAGCCTTACATCTCTGGTATAATTCCTTCAATGAGCTCTTTATGAATGTGGGGATTTTGATCAATTGTTATATATTTTTGTACAGAATGTTACTGTACAACGGTGGATGGGGTAGAAGGGAGGAGAGCAGGAAGCGGGGGAAATGTGGAAAGCACAAATCTGAGTTTAGACGCTGCCAACCTGTTGCAATTCTCCTAATGGATTGTTCCACTTTCTCTTGTTTGCTCTCTTTGTGATAAATTGATGCTTTAATTTCCCTCCTTTTGGGATTTTCTCGCTAAGTGCCACTGCTGCCTTTCAGAAGACTGCGGACTCGTTGAGCAGCACATGTGAAGCTTTTTGTCTCAGCCGTCTCTCATCTGACAGCTTGAAGCTGAGCTAGCTAGGACACCAGCTTTTTCTGTCTCTCCATGTGCTCTTCCTTCATGTTCAGCTGGAATCATAAACAAGCGATTCTGTCATGCATTTGGGGGAAAATTAGCATTTATGTTTATCATTATTCACTCTGTCCCACGATGGTGTAGTTGATGACGGCGAAGAGTATGCCTCGTTGCCTTCGCAGACTGCATCGCAGGACGTACTGACCCCGGCATCGGATGCACTTCCAGCGACTCCTCCGCGCTCCGCCATCAAGGAAGCTCCATCCCTGCCCCTCTCCCCGCTGGTCAGTGTCGACAGGTGCGCCAACATTTCTTCCTTGGAAATTCTCTCCATAAGCCGCCATGCTTATTGTATTTTCGGCTATGTATGTCGCACGAACACCCACAAAACTGCCGTTTTCGTTGAAACGTTGAGATATACAGTCGAACCTCGTTATATCGAACAGTGCGAGGACCATGAAATAATTTGATATAACCAAAATTCTATATACAAAATCACCAAAAATGCGTCAAAGTGCTGCGCAATTTAATTACTAAAAAGCTTGCGGCAAAAATGACTACTCACGTGAAGCGTTAAGATAAACTATTTATTTTGGCGAAAAAAAACTGCCGCAGCGTAGATTGCTTCTTGGAGTTGACTGCATGCCTTACCCACTCCACGGTCTCCAAGCAGTCCACAAGCGCCATGCCACTACCGCCGAAATTGCGCTGCAGTAGCGGCATAAAAGCGTCAAAGCAGCCACAGCTTCGCCCCAAGTTGGCAAAGTTTTGTGCTTGGTGAATGAACGCAAAGTTCTTTGCTTTCTGTTGAAGCATCGACCCCGACACCGGAATGTTCCGAGCCCTTGCGTCCACAAACCACTTGTGAAGTGATCTCTCCACCTTTTCGAAAACCGGGGTCCGAACATGGTGTACGCCGGAGTGCATGCTTCGTTCAGCCTTCGATTTGATGTCACTTTTCGTTTTCAGCAGCATGCTCAAATTTCTTCACGGTATGTTGTACGCTTCGGCAACGCTGGACTTACTTTCTCCTTTTTCAACGGGGCAGATGATTTCAAGCTTCGTCGCAAACGTCAGCGGTGTACGTTTCTTTACGTTTGTTGCCATCAGTACGCCATATGCGGTTGACACATTGTCGGAGGAATGAGCCCGGAGGAACGAAACTGCGGGATGTACACACAGCGCATGAAAAGAGCGATATTGGCGAAGCATGCTGGCGATACGATTGAGCCGACTGAGCGACTGAGCCCATATGCCGCCGAGTCTGGATGGCGCTCCCGGCACCATAAGCATAAAGCTTTACGCAGGCATGCGCTTGTAAAAGGGTCGAACGCCTGCTGCGCCACCGCTATCCTCCGTTGTGTTTCGGAAAAGCCCGCCGTATCCTCCAATGTGTTGCGGGAAAGCCTGCCGCCTGTCTCCGGAGCGCACGCTTTCCGGCACTGCGGAGTTCAATATATTCATTTTTTAACCGACCGAGTTTGGTGTAAAAAATTTAAAATGCATGTAATTCTTATGGCACTTCGACAACGATTCGATATAAGTAATAATTTTATATATTGGTGTTCGATATACAGTGTAGACCGCATATAACGTATGTCGCGGGAGTCGCAAAAATCCGCACTATAAGCGGTACCGCGTTATAACCAAAACATCAATTTTTCAGGCCAAAATACATGCCATGAGACTACTTACCTTTGTAAAAGAATTTACTTTATGTTAGGTGAAAAATAAAGCTTAGTTTGAGAAAAGTCTTTATTTCACCAGACTAGAACAGTTCTGTCTCAAGTGTGTCACACATTTTGAAAGAAATGAGCGACTTTTGCCTGGCGCAGCCTTTTAACAGCGTCGCGGGTTGCGGACGGACGTTGCGAGCGTTCAGGATTGCTAACCCTAATCACTTTTCTCCGGCGATGAAAACGCGTGAAAATTCGCATCCTTTATACGGTGCCAGTAATACCTTCAACTTGAGCACAGGCATGAAATGCTCCAAATAAGAAATCCGGGCGATGTTCGAAAACACAGAAAGCACCACTCTAGTCGAAGTAAACAAACACGACGACACGGGCGTTTCTGCCGTCTTGAGAGTGCCGCCACGACATCGCCGCACGAGTAGGTGGATCTTCCCTTCTAGTACGTGCTGGGTTATCATAACGACACACAACAAAAATTCACAGTCAAGGGTAGCGCTTTTACGCGGAACGATGAGCCTCCATCACGCAATCTACGTCGACGATCAAAACCAACGCCATGTTTGCGGATAGACGCAGCCGGCCCGCGACCGGAGAGGAGGAGAAGCGTTGTAATAGAGGTTGGGGGGGGGAAAGGAGGGAGCCAATAGTGTGTACGCACTGCCGGCATGCAACGCGCACGAACACTTCTCCTCGACCTGCGATTGGTCTGTCGTTGCGGTTGTTTCCAACCATCGCAGCGGAGTGACGCGCGCACGAGAACGACACGTGCATGCGTCCCTCCGTCGCTATGGCAACTGCAGCCTCTCTCTTCGCATCTCCCGGTTTCTTCGAGCAACCTCCTTGCCCCGCGAGTGCCGCTCGCGGCTCGCGCCGTTATCTAGCGCCGCACAGGAAAGCGTGCTCGCTGCGCCGGTCAGTCGGCACGGCCGCCGGGCTCTTCCAGAAACCGCACTATAACCGGTATTTCCCTTCGCGCGCCTGCATTTTAAGCGGTATGTAAATACATGGAGTTCTATGGGAGGCGAACCGGTGGTTTAAAAAAGCCGCGTTATACCCGGTCCTGCACTATAAGCGGTTACGTTGTAAGTGGTCTATACTGTAATGAGGTTTGACTGTAAGTCACGCCTTCGTACGAATTGCACTGTTTTGTACGGTTGGCACAGCAAGGGTGCTGCTGAGGAGTTAAACTGCCACGCATCGGACAGTCCTTGGACCGACGGATGGGCGGTCCGTTGGCACGTGCTCTGCCGTCTCTCCCTTGTCGTAAATGTCGATACGGTTTTCATTTTGGACATTTAAGGCTCATATTTCTAAAAAAACACTTATAAGTTGTACCATCCTCTAAGACATATCGACGAAAAATTTGGAGAAAAAAACATACGCTGGAAAATATGACACTCAAAAACATAAGGAGCACACTACTACTTAATGTGTCTGAATACAAGAACATTTCTAAAATTGTAACTAAGGTTTCTTGTTTTCCAAGTTTATTTTTCCTGAAATTGGGGAGGGGTTTTTCAGATATTTTTTTCCCCCACAGATTTCGTGTTTTTTTATGTTAAACAGAACATTGGTGTTTATTGGAGCTCATTTTAAATAAAACGGGACATGACCTTACCCTTAGCCTCCTTTATACTGAAAATGCCTGCCCAATGGTTTCTTTGTCGTCGTCACGCCTACTTCAGATATTTGCTACTAGGGGCGCCAAAACCCCATACAGAAAAGCAGACGACGCTTGTCCGCTGTCTGCTGCTACAGTTCACTGTAGCTAGCGTAAGCTACGTTATCACGTTAAGCTATGTGATAACACAAGTTTTCCATGTTAGGTTACGCGGTAACGTGACCTTACGTGTTCAAATAGGTCACGTGATCACGTAATGTTTTTGTGACACGAGTAACTTCTTTCGGTCGTCATTCGACTCGCAGAGCTCTAGAGCTCTTAGCCATAGCCGGCATAGCTCAATAGCACGAGGCTGTCTGCGGCTCCTGGCACGCACACCGTGACGCCTTACGGTGTGCATGTGGCGTCATCTAGTAGTAGGTGAATATTTGGCACGGCTGGTGAAGGAACATGTCAACTGCAGTGACTGCTTCCTGCTGGTCATTAAACATGCTTCTACGGCTCACAGTTATTCCCTCATCGGGCACCAGGACAGGGGAGGACTATACTGTCCATCGGAGAAGCTAGTAGTGCGCTGAAGAACTCCGTAGAGGTTTTACTGAAAAAACGAAATATGCTAAAAATGCCTTTGCATGCAGCTGTTGAGACTGCGTTAGATACACTTATGCACCATGGGGCTCTGAAATGCGCAAAGGCAGATAAAGATTTCAACCATTACAAAGATTTCCTGCAAAATCTGTGTACTAAGTATTTCAGGCCAATTTTCACAAACTACTCTGCATCCGTGACTGACAAGCATGACCTCAAGAAGATCTTCAACAAGCCACTATCTAGGAAATAGTTAAAGCTCTAGAACTGCATCCGTGAAAAACAATGCAGACCAGAAAAAACCGGTCAAAAATATTTAAAAAAAACTGTGAGCTTAAAAAAAATTAGAAAGAAAATTGAAAATGTGTTTTAAGGTCCCCGGTCAGAGCGTTGCCGACGGATGCGCCGGATTTCGATCAGCGAAAGCTCTTTCGCGGTCCTGAGAAAAATCCCTTGACTGCCGCATGTGGTCCGCAGGCCGTATGTTTTACTGCTCTGCTCCAGAAGCAATAAAAACGCTAAGTGGTTGCTGTTGCAACGTCGTGAACGTTTGCCAGCCTGTCTGTCTCCTTTTTAATTTGGATCCACAATTACTGTAGTCGCTATGACAAGCACCAGAGGTCTGGTAACATTTCAGCATAGAAACAAAACCAAGAAGTGAAAGCTAAAAGAAAGGTTAAGACTTCTTTTATATATGAAAACTATACTGACGGTGCCTTGCGCTAGCTCTGTAGCACGGGTCACGAATGTATTCAATTCACAAATGGCGTCACAGTGGACTGTAGCAGCGGGCAGCGGAGAAGCGTCGTCTGCATTTTTGTATGGGGTTTTGGCGCCTCTAGTAGCAAATATGTGAAACAGGTGCAACGACGACGAAGCATGGGGAAGCCAACCATTGGGCAGGCATTATCAGTATAAAGGAGGCTATGCGTTACCTTGTGACATAATCCCTTTGCTGTGAGAACACTCATTTTTTTTTAGATTGTGAAAGCTAATTTACTAATAAATTTAACTTCATTTTCGACTAATCAAATACTTTAGAAGTTGTAAATATCGGTGCTTCAATGCCCGAAAAGTTTTTGAAATGCTTACTTTGTTTTTCGGTTTGGGAAGGACTTGCTTTGTATTGAATTTGGTTGAGCAAGATATTCTGTTTTTGTAAAACTAGAAAAACCTGGAAAATTGTTAGGATATTTGTGGGCAACTTATACTGGGTATGACAAAACCATGAAATAAGGTTTCCATGGTCTCTAACCCAAAGTCAATTGTTTAACGGGGGTCAGCAACCTCTTTGCAGCAGCGGGCCGAGTCAACACGTAGCCGACGCAAAAGGGGCCGGCCGGCCAGTCACAAAAAAGGGGGGTTGGGGTTTCTGGTGTTGTGCTGGGGCTGCGTAAAACTGCCTCGCCGGCTGCATACAGCCCGCAAGTCGTGGGTTGTCGACTTCTGTTTTACGACGATTTTTGTGCAACTAATTTATCCTTTACAGGCATCACTTCGAACCCCAAAAGGTTAACAAAACTAATTGCCCCGAATGCTGAGGAAACACAGAAGTTAACTCCCACGTAAAAGAGACACCACGAGGTATGCAGTCAAACCCGTTTATAACGAACATCAGGAAACGCTACGATCAGTTCGATATAGCAAGTAGTTCGATATAGCAAAAAACATTTACAACGAACTTCCACGATGCGTTCGTTGTAAGGCGAGAGCTTCTTTCTTTCTCATCTCTTCGCTTCCACCTTGTAACTACGCGCTGAAATTCTTTTTTTTTTTTTTTGCATGCTTGCATAATTTTTTTTTTTTTAGCTTTCTCTCCTTCTGAATCGCTTCTCTTTGCTCAATTTGGTTAGCAACTTGAGCTTTTGGCATTTTCTTTCTTTCCTACTTTAATATGTTGTTCGTTATAAAAATTACTTTTTACATGCATTTTTGTTTAAATTTTCCGTGAGTTCGATATTGACAATAATTCGCTGTACGTGGGTTCGTTCTAAACGGGTTTCACTGTATAGAGAAGCCTTTTGTACCACAGACAGAGGGCTCAGGAGTCATGCAGTTTGTATCAGAAGCAGTCTCCTATTCTGTTAAAAGGGTGTGTCCAAGAAACCCTAAAAAAAAACTTGGCAGTCCCGTGTTAAGCCGCAGCATAGCCTGAGCGATAGCTGCGACGCATCACGGCGAATCTGGCATCGGTGTCGCGTTCACGCATCGTGAAGTCTTGACGGCGAAATCTCAATCGGCTTTGTTCTGACGTGCATGCACCTCGCAGTTCTCCCCGCGACGAACGGCGAGACACGCCGGCGTGCCGTCAGCGCGTTTTTCGGCATCTCTTGGCAAGCGCGACGCCAGCACGCAGCAATGCCAAGACACCCGCGTCTGCCGCTTTGTGCCGTAACCTCATCAAGTTTCAGCGTGTTTGCTGTTGGGGCGGCTTGGAGATCCACACACTAGCGACGACGTAACGTGCAGGCCTGTGTTCTAGGGGGTATTGCATGGATTAATACGGCTGAATCCTTTTGATCGGGTGGCGGTTCGTGACACTTATCCAAAGCTCTTAATTTCAAGATTAACTCCGATTAAGGTTGGAATTATTTAGGAATTATAGAGACTTCTATCGCGACGTAGCAGCAACCGTGGCCATCTAGCGGTGGCTACGCGAGACCCATACGCGCATCTGTATTTCAAATGCCATTTCTAAAGTGCGGTGTCAAAGTTGCGGTGTAGCTCCGTAGTAACACATCCGCTTCACAAGCCGTGGACCCAGGACCGAATCCCAAGAAGAGAAGGTGATCTTCAATCAAGCATTTGGCAATATCGCGACGGACACCCTATGCCCTATTACGACAACTACGGTAGACTACAGCGACAATGGACGTCATTTTCAGTGGAGGGACGAGCCCATAAGAGCTACAACTGTAGAAAGAATAATGAGGAGAGCATGGAAAGGGCAGAGTAGATCTGTGGCCCCTTTGAAGTTAAGTGGCTCCTCTGGGGGAGTAAAAGCAAGATGTATTCTTTTTGTAAAATCCGAAATCTATTGGTTTGATGTTGGGTGGCTCATCGGTACTTTGACAGTACCAGTGGCGTAGCTAGGCCATCCGGCACCCGGGGCCCTTATTTTTTTAGTAGCCTCTCCCCCCATTCACTCCCCAATCCCTGAGATTGCAAACAACCAGTGAAGCAGGGGGGGGGAGTGCTTTCGAGCCTAGTAAATTGTGCGACAGGGCGACAGCTAGTGTGCTTATTCTCGTTCTATTGAAAAATGCCAGCACATTGGCAATTTAAATCTTGTCATCACATCAGGTATGGACCCAAAGTAGTCGCATAAGCAAAGCAAAGGTAAAGATGTCACTGGCAAGTCGGCGAGTTTACAAAAAGCGGAAAGCACGAGGTTCCCCTCTAGAAAAGCTCTAATGTTTTGCTGGGAGAGTCAACTGCTTTAAGATAAAACACCATTGCTGTATTTTCCCAAAAAATTCCAAAATATGACGAAAATAATCCCTGAAGAAAGGATTATTTTCGTCATTCTTATCCAGCTCGCTTGCACCTTTGCATTTGATTGCATTTTCATAAAAAAAAATAACCTCCCCTCCCTTATTAGGGTAGCCCTCAACCTTTCGGGGCTGGCCTATCTGTCCCTTAGAGTCGAAGGAGTTTGTGACCCCTGGTGTACATTGTTTTATGAAGAGAATGGCCATTTGCTTTGTTAACTTGGGTATTTTATTTACAGTGCTTCAGTGACGCCCCTTAGGAAAAGCCTTTCTGGTGAGTTTGGCTGTGCTTTTCTGGTTTGCACGAAGCAATTGGCACGTGAGCATGGATTGCGTCAAATTATAGGGAGGCTTCTTGCATCTCATTATGGTATAACCACCACCAGAATTTTTTTTAAACTTGGAATGTGTTTTATCAGCCAATTCTCATAGAGTTCTGGAACGTTTGGAGTTGTAAAACAGCTCGCTGTAACGAAAAACCTGCACCGAAAAGTGTTACGCCCATAGGCAACGATATAAAAAAAACTTCAGTCGCCAAACAGCATTTGAGCAACCCACCTTCAGATTGTGAGCCAAGTGCTTTGCCAACTGAGCTATCCAGGGTCGGTGGTCGGAGCATCCAACTCAAGCGCGTGGCGTGCAAATGCGCGGCGCTTGCTTTGTGGTCTTTCGTGTTATGCCAAGTCATTTCACAATGTGTGTGAGAAGGGCGTGTGAATGGCACCACCCACTGAAGGTGGGTGGCGCTGTTTACATGCTCTTTTCTTCCCTGGAAGGCCCATCACACATTCTGCGCTTCTCAGTCTTTGTCAGCATAATCAAGCTTGTATAATATATTGCAAATCAAACCCTTTCACACAAAATACATGGCCCCAAAAGTCAATTTTGACCGCTGTTACGAAGTTTCTGAGTAAAAAAATGAAAGCCGTTTACAACTCCCTGTAACGCCGAATTAGAGCGCAGCTTTTGAGGGGGAGGAGGGAAGGGTACTGAGGGGAGGGTATATCCTTCCTCCCTCCTCCTCACGTCCTCATCCTGCCTGCTACTCCTCCCTCCGAGCGGCGTTGCCGTCTCCTCATGAGGGTCACGTGTCCTTCGGGGGTCACGTGTCTTTCGGGGGTCACATGACCTGACGGGGGTCATGTGACATCACTGGAGTCACGTGACGATGACGTAATCAGTGACGTCATCGTCGTCATCACTGATGACATCGTCAGCGTCACTGATGGTGTCATCGTCATTGTCACTGATGACGTCATCAGTGACGTCACACATCCCATAATGCACCGCGCGGTTACGTTGAAGCCGACGGCAACGCCGCTCAGGCCGGGAATGGGTGCCTAAGAGCTGTGCCCTAAAAGTAACCGGTTTGACATAAATTATCCTGAAACGAGTTACGTCACATTTAATAACTAGAAATTGTCAATTTTTTGTGAAAACATGCTGTAGATACGAAAGAAGTGACCTCCATCTGTTTGTAATGATTCGGATTGGCAAGACTGTGAAAGGGAATATAAAGTTTGTTCTATCAAGTAGTATTCACCCCTAAATGTTTGTCATAATTGTCTCACCATCTTTGGTGGGCACTTACATTTCATATGCTATGGTATCTAACTGGAGAAAACATTGTAGGATATTTCGCTTCAACATTATATAAAAATAGAACATAGGATATACAGATTCTTTTTATCATCCGTACAAGCGCTGCAGCATCGATCGGCTGTTTTCTTCTTCCTCTTTCCCTCCCACCCCACTTTTGTTTTTTATTTTTTTTATTAGCAGAATTCTCACCTCCAAAGGGTGATTTTCAGACTAAGGTTTTGCTATTTTCATTCAGAATTTCAGCAACAGTGATACCGAAGCTTCTCAGATCTGTCAAATTATGATGCGCATTGTTTTGGCTAGGATTTACCCCTTATTTCTAAACACGATTTACCGCTGTCGTGCATCCCTTACAACATTTCCACTGACCTCCATTTGGTGTTGTTTCCAGGTCGCTTCGAGAGACCCTGGGCAGCCGAGCCGTCTCAGGATATGGACGAGCTCGTCGGGCTCTGTTCGGGATCTTTCGGTGCACGGTAAAAAATGGCTGCCTTCTTGCTTTACCAGGTGTTGCTTCAGGGCTATTCGCACGGGGGATGCTTTTCGGGGGAAGATGTGCGTGACGTCAGGGATTGGCGGAACCAGCGAACTCCCTCTCCGGCTCCAGCATTCACACGAAGGGCAGGAAGCCGAGGAGGATGCCAGTGTTATCAGACGCTTGTAGCGGTCGCAACCTTGACAATGGGGCTCGGTTCGCGCTGACGTGAGTGGAAAAATGGAGACATACGTGAAACGGCAATACACGATCATGGCAGCAGCGCTGTTAGATGCAGGTGACCATGAACTGCTTCCTGCTGAAAGAGAGGTTTCTTGAATGGGTGGATGAAACACAAAGGACGTAGAATCGAAAACCACTTGTATGAGGAGCGGCTTGAGGACGGCATCGACAAATATAGAAGACTCCTTCGAGGGAACCGGACGAGATGTGCAACAGTGCAAGCCACAACAAGTTAGGCGGTCCCGATACCACCGCCGGTATCTCGTTGAGTAAAAAAACTGTAAAGTTGCCAGACATGCAGACAAAATACCGCCAATTGCAAAGAGATCCCACGTCAAGGTGGAGAGTGTTTGTGCGGCCCCAGCAAAAGATCTCCCATCACACTGGAATGTCTACAACGGCACGGCTCCATGCAAATGCGTGACGTTACCACGTGATGCGCCTCCCAGGGAGCAATGGGAGGGATTTCCCCCTGTGTGAACACCCCTTTACCCATAAGCGATGCTTTTTCACTGCAACGACGCTCTTGTGCAAGGTTGTAGACGCTGGTTTTGTAGCCTCTACAGGTATACAAGACGCACGATTTAGGAGTGGCCAGTCACACATTGCTCCGGTTTCTTGGGCATCTCGGCAGTAGACAGTACTCGAGATAATAACTTTGCATGAAATCTTGTGATGGCACTTGTAGGTACAGTATGTTTCTCGGTGGTGATTATGGCAGCTCGCATGTTCTTTATGACATTTCCAATTTTCTCCTTTCATCCTCTCCAGTAATGCCATGAAGCTTCGGCTGAGTTAGCAACTCAAAGCTACCTGAGCAGTGCACTTAACACTCCTGAGGCAGCAATGATCACATTTCTTCGCACCCAGTAGCGGTGCAATCAATACCGCGTAGCATTGAGGTTGTGCCTCTGCACCTGTATACAGTGGTACAGCTGAAAGAGCTGTAAAAAGTAAAAGTGAGAAATGTCTTTAGTGGCTTGTTATATGTACTTTCTTCGGAAACTGGGCATACTCCGTAAAGGCAACTTGGAATTCCACCCCCACTTCCCAAAATGATTATCTGTCCTATGAACACTGGAGATCCTGATGTTACTCGAAAATAAGATTAGGCATCATGTGATGAGATTGCTTTGTAGAGATATCTAAACCTTTTGCTTTATCTTTGTACAGTGATATACGGTCGACTTGCGTTAATTCTATCTCGGTTAATTCGACTTATCAATTAATTCTACCTTTTCCAAAGGTCCTGGCAAAAGCCCATACATTTCTGTATAAAAAAAAATTATTTTGATCTTGAAATACAAAATATGTATCGGTTAATTCGGCCTAGAGAGAACTTGCGGTGGCCAAATTACGAGCACGATTTGCCGTGCATTACTCACAAAAAGGGCCTTTTTTTTCCCCAAATTCTGCGGTGGGGCAGCAGTGGTAGCACCTGCCACCAGTCACAGCTGCCGCCACCGCACCAAATGCGTGACAGCCACTGCCTTGCGGCGGTGTACGGCGGCTCATTATAAAATTGTTAGCCCACCTTATCTAAAGCGTTGCAGATATTCCGAATTTACCGCACATCTTTTAATGTGACTTCCAGTTAACTTGACCGAATTTCGCACGTCCCGTCATGGTCGAATTAGTGGAAGTCAACTGCATTGAATGATTGCTTAACCAGACTTTTTGTCGAAACTTTTGGCTGTCGTAACTCAGAAGTGCAGTCTTGTCGTGAACACTTTTGTTGTCATGCAGCAATGGAGCCAGTGAAGCGGGTGACACGGGGAGTCAGTTTGGGGACAAGGCACATCTTGCAAGTGCCACAGACCCAGAAAACGACGACGTTGATGATGTAGAAGGTGACGGTGAAGACGCCAATGCCAGAGATGAAGCGGAAGATGAGGGCGAACACGACGATCAGGGCCAAGACGAGGACGAAGATGAAGATGGTGAGGAGGACAATGAGGAAGAGGATGAGGAGGAAGAGATAGGCATCACCGAAAGTCGGGCCAAGAAAAGGCAAGTTTTTAAACACACAATGTGTTTTACGGGTCGTTTTCTACAAGAAAATTGTCGTGAATGAGTGTCATGGATGATTGACATGAACTAGCTACATCTGAAGTTTGTCTTTGGCAAGTATTCATTAACATCGTTTTATACATCACAGTTGCTTTTCGTTCAGTGCACCTGTGGTCAAATAAACCCTGTAGGAATTCGCGTACCGCCACCGATTTGCCGTTTCCCACATGGTCCGTCAACAACCCGAGTCCAGCCTGGTTCTTTCACGGGAGCAAGATTCCGCTCCCCGTTTATTGGTTCAATATAAAACACAACGCTACAAAACACTCAATCTAAACTACAAATACACGCGGCATTACACAAATATTTACAAACGCACGTTAAGGCCAAAGCTACACACAAAGAAGGCCCCCAGGCCTCGTGTCCCGCGATTACCCTAGATCCGGTCGCCACCCACTTGCCTGCGTCTCGGTATCGTCCGGAGTTCTAAGAGGCCTTTCGCTCCCTGGGCCACCAAGTATATCTCGATCGATAGGCGAGGAGGTTTCTCCTCGCCCGCCACAGGGCGCCTGCAGCGCCATCCAGTGGCTAGGAAAAAAGTGGCATGTCGGGAGCCGAATTCGAGATCCCGATCAACCCCACGGCGACACGACCATGCGATCGTGTCGAAGGCGAGGCACTAATGTTAGAGTGGTTTGATGGGCGCCCTCGTGAATGCACGGTGCTCCATAACCCATAGGCGTGCTTGTTTGGTTTAATCTTTTTTCTTCTCTTTTTGTGTATTCCAAATGAAAAAAGATTTGGTATTTGATTTGGCGTTTGACTTGTCAGCAACTATTCAACAGTGTTCAATTTGAATTCAATTCGAGCTGAAGTTTCACTATTCGCACACTCGTAGTTTATTTATTTGTTTGTTTGTCTGTCTATTTATTTATTTATTTTATATTTATTGTTATTACTAATATTATAATAATTATAATAGTATACTTTCAAAACGGGTCCTAGTTCATGCTTGTTACCTATATAGTCTCCTCGAGTTACAGAATCCTCCTCTAGGCTGCCTGTCTTAGCCCAAACCAGCAAAGAGGTTTTAGCTTTTCTGTTACTACCTATGATTAGTTTCTTCTAATTCCTTTCATCATAATTGATTATGTTATACTAATGATATAAGTTATCGATCAAGGTGTGCCATTGCCACCCTCTACTTCATTTAGCAGCCTTTCTTGCTACTGTTTCTTGATCCTAGCATTCTCACTAATCGTGATACGCTAATGGTTCCCCGCAGGCATTAGGGTGCCAAAACTAGTGTTTAAATTTAGGTAGTGTATCACATGCATGTCAAAATATCAGATTTGTGTGTGCTAAAGGCTTCAAGCGATCAATCAGTCAATTTTATTTACCCCCAGATCTCGCATATGCAGCTCCCCCTTGTTACCAGCAGCGTCCAGCTTAAAAAGCTTAAAATTATACTTACAGAGACACTGACAGGGTATTTATGCTCGCCGAGGTTTTTATTTGAACATGACCTACAAGAGTCTAACTACCCAGTACACAATTTGCAGCTCGAAGTTTGTTTTCTTTCCACCCGAAAACAGCCAGTCGAAAATTGGCCAGTTTTAGTCGCGCTCGCTCCCTTCTTCATGGTTACGTGGCGTTAAAACTATGTGTATGAAGTATTTCTAAAGTAGATAGTAGATAAAAATAATAAACCCATTTTTATGGCCTCAAAAAAGCTGCAAATACGTTGATCGAAAAAAGCAAATGTTGCGCAGATCACAGGAAGTACACATACATGTCATTCTCAATTCGGCAACGTACCGCGGGCTGGACAACGTGATGGCGGCACACGACGTACCAACATTGCGACGAACGTCGGGCCGCTACTTCGTGACTATTGTTCGTGGTACCAACCAATCGATCTTCAAGCGCAGAATATGGAGTGGAAGGGATATAAGTGCGAAACAATCGCACGAGAAATGGTGCTCGCAAGTTCATCGTCGTCTGCTTCACACGCCAAAAAAGCGGAGAAAAAAAAGCAGTTGGGTGTAGCCACATGACTAGCGGCCATGAGCTCTCATGCTTCTGTTTCGGTTTTGAGCACTTGAGTTTTTCTACTTTATTAAAAATATATGCGCTAAAATATTGATTGGGTAGTATCCTGACACAATAATAAATTGTCTGGGGGGTGTCAGTGTTCCTTTAATGGATTTTGTCGCGAATGACGATTGATGAGGCGACAAATGACTGAAGCAAAGTAAATGTTTAATGGGACGAGCTTGTGCCCAAAACAAAATAGAAGACTAGCATCGCAGGCGTCAATGGCAGCGTAACAGCAGGATCGAATGCTGGGACGAGACTTATCCCGGACCACCACGCGGAGCACCTTTTGTTCCCGCGTGGGTTTCTAAAACATTCGGCATAGAACGTTCGGCACATAGAACATTTGAAGCTTGATCAGACGACAAGGTTCTCGAACTTATGAGAACGCTAAATTGAAAAAATAGAAGAAGTGTCCACTCCCAGAAATCGAACCTGGGGCCTCCGTGTGAAAGCCAAGCACGGTAACCATTCGGCCACGCACTTGCTTACTCGGCGACGCGCGTGGGAATATTGTGTATATTGTTCAAGGGACTTTTCTCAAGTTAACAAAAAAAACATACACCTGCCATTGTTTTTTTCCCCTTCCATGTCCTTATTGGGTCTCATCTCTATCGTATAACCAATATTTAAAACAGATGTTTATTGTATACAAATAGGCGCACATAATGATCTGATAGCTTTTCCGTATGGGGCTAATATGAACGCTTCATCATACAATTTCTTGGGTCTTCACTTTGTGTTCCCTTCTTGTGTTCCCTTCTAAACTGCAAGCAAAAACCTTCAACGAAGTAAAAAGTGATTTATTGAAGCAATAAACACGAAGCCGGACAACACGGCACTTGTGTTTGTTCTTCTGTTTACGCTGTCTGTAACATCTAAAAATTCATACCCATGTTGAGTTGTCTGCGATAGATTGTTTTGATGTCCAGTTCTGTTTTTGTCATTTTATTTTTCTCTGTCGGTTGTTGGAGGCCTCAGCTTTGAAAAGTGAAGGATGATTAAGATATTAGCAAGCAGGACAATAGGGGACACTCTCCCCTTTATCTTGTTTGTTTTCTCCGTGCTTTTTCTGGTTGTTGTTTTTTTTTTTTTTTTTGCTTTGTTTGTTTGTTTGTTTTGTAAAAAGGAAGGTTTTTTTGTTTTGTTTTTTCGTGGCAGTGACGACTTTGGAAACGTTAAAGAAAGCCTGGATTAAATAAATTATTGTACTGTCGTCTCTTTTCTTTTTTTGTCCTTTTTGTTGTTTTAATTTCGTTCTCCTTCAGTCTCGGGATTTAGCATCATGTTCAGTGCACACCGGCTCGGCTGCACTCTTAGCATTTTTTCTAAAGACCCTCAGTATTGTATCTTGTCTGGACCAAGGAGCCTGCGGGACTTCTTTGAGGACGAGGCGGAGCTGTCTGGCAGCGACGTGGGCAGCGACGGGGAGGAGGGAGAGGAGGACGAGGAGGGGGTGCTGGCCGACCTGATTGCAGCCGAGGACGACAAGGAGGACAGCAGCAAGCTGCGGGAGGAGATCGGCCGTTTCCACTTGTGAGTGTAACAACCTGTCCTTTTGTAATTGAACCTCTAACCTAACCCCTCGCCTAATCTAAGCTAACATGATGTGACCCAGCTTAAGGTAACCTAACCTTTAACCTCCTAGCCTAACCTAACCTTTGACCTAATCTAACCTAACCTTTGACCTAATCTAGCCTAACCTTTACCATAAGGGCCTACTTTACCCAACCCTAACATGAACTAACTTGGTCTTACCCTTAGCCTAATAAGCTAACCTAGCCTAGCCCCTACCTTACCTTCTAACCTAACCTAATTAACCCAACCTAACCTAATCTAACCTTATGTTTAACCTAACGTAACAATATTATTTTTTCCCTAATAATCTAACCTTACCTAGCCTACTAATCTACCCTAACCTTTGACCTAAATCTAAGCTAACCTAACCCCTTCCTAATCTTACCCCTAGCCTAACCCAACCCCTAACTTTACTTAGCGTCCTTAACCTAACCTCTAACTTAAAGGGACACTAAGGTGCTTTTTGAGATCCTCATTTTACTGTCATAACTCAATCTACGAGCTCTAATAACCTTGAAAACCCGAAATTACCTTCATGCGCGGCCGATTTTCATATAAAGAAATTATCAAAGCTCCCTATACCTTCCGTCGGCGCAGAACGACAGATGGCATTTGGAGTGCCTTTTGGGAAATACTAAAATAACAGGCAGATTTTAAGGTACAGGGACGAGAGCTTAATGCAAGCAGGGGAAGGTGAGGGCAGGGGGAAACCCCCTCTCATCAAGGCCCCCTTTTGCGTACCCCCGTTGCTTTTTTCCTCCCCAGGGATGGGCCCACCACTCAAAATTCCTGCAAACGTGGCTTTCCTCTCTGTTCCGCCCATGGCCTCCACAGCACTGTGTGCAACTTGTGATATAGAGTATAGTAAAGATCTTGATACAGCTAAGGTTTTTTTCTGAAAAGACCAACTTTACCGTAGGCAGAGATAAGTCTAACGTCGCAGAGCCTTGAAATGGAAGTTCTGGATGTGAATCTTGTCCCAAGTTTGTAGCCCGTCCCGTTCCGCACCCCAGTGGAAGATATAAAAGGTGTGGACACCGCACGCGTCGCAGCTGCCAGATAAGGTTCTTGCCTCGCCTTGGCTGCAAGTGGCGCCACCAGATTACTCTTTGTAAGCAGCTAGTGGTAGCCTATCAAAAGCCTATTTTTTCATGCTTCTCTATGGGGGACGTGCTTTTTTTAAAGTCGTTTTTTGGATGTGCCGTGCCACGTAGAACTTTGCGCTTGCGCTACACAAGCTGCTTGGACACGGCTTCGTCGTCGACTCAAGTTTCGTGCCTTAACGGCAGCAATAACAGTTTTATGAACACTTTGAAGCGCAGAGATCTCTGGCGTGGTGTTCGAGCCAGCGTCTGTCAAGGTCAGAGCAGTCGCACCTAGCGCAAAGCACATTGCCCAAATGCTGTGGCAATAGTGCGCTTCTTTTTTTTTAATGTTTGGTTGGCAAAAACGCTGTCACCATAGGCTACTCGGGCGCGCATCAATAGGACTTTATCTGGTCGATCGCGTTGCAGTGTCCGCCTTGCTGTGTATTTTCACCTAAAGAGTGTTTTACTCCATGTTCCACAATCAGCAAGCAGCTCTTGGACGAAGACAAGAGGGAGCTGAAGATATACCAGGAGCTCCTCCTCGAAGACGGGGACCTCCACAGCGACGGAACCGGGCGGCAGAGACGCTTCCGCTGGAGAAACAACGGTGAGGAGACGACGTGCTCGCCTTGTTTTTACCATTTGCCATCATCCACTGCAGGTTTTCCATAAAGCATACCACTCTTTGTCTTATTAGACCTCTTCGTCTTATTAGGCCTAGTTTTCCTTTTACTGCATGGAATGCTTTATAACGAAGCCCCCTATTTTCCCAGAAAGTTGTTTGTCCATCCGTCTGTGCATTTTCCCACTGAATTTAGTTGTGGAATTGATGTCACGTGACATCGCATAGTATACGCTTAGTTTGCCCGCTATATTTAGTGGGCAAATCGCCATCATGTGGCCTACGTGCTGACTTAGTTTCTCGAGTAAATTTAGCAAGGAAAATTGAAGTCACGTGACCTGACATCATATGTGTAGTTTGCAGTTGAATATAAAAGAAATAGGTTCATTGCACCTTGAAATGTCTGTTTAATGTGTAAATAAATTTAACCTAAATACTACTGCATTCTATGCACTATAGGGCTATGAAGCTCAAGGTCACTGCTAATGTTTTTTTAGAATAGAAATTAGTTAAGTGGCCTAGATGTAGAACCAGCAGTTTTATTTGAAGCTTCCACTCGATTTTGAAATGAGGACATGTGTGCAGGGAAAACCTGGGCCAAGTTTTAATTTGCTGCACACTTCCCAACTGCAGAAATCTCTCAAGAGTTCAGCCAACAACCCCAACAGTTTCAGTTTCCTACAGGGTGGAGGTTCACAGACCTTTGCATGGAAGAGATGTCAGTTTGTAGAGGGCACTCTGTTATAAATATGCAAGGCTTCAGCAAAGCGGTTGTCCTACGTCAGTGATGTCACCGCTGCATCATTTGTGCCAAACTGTGCCAAAGCACTCACCCTGGTACATCTTGCTACTTTCAGCCGAATGCGACGAAGTTGCTCCAACATTGTGCCACAAGTTAATTTTGCTTTCTCAGTACTGAAACTAATAGCTCAGAACCCAGCACACTGCCAGATCGTTACAGCAGACTCGAGCGAATTTTTAAAACTTTCGACTAGCGTTTAGAATAATGCAACATTCTGTTCTATTTTTGAGTACTCGGGAGTTCCTTCGTTCGGGCGGGTTACTTAAAATTTTGAACGCCTCGTTAGAATTTGTGAAACACTTAAGTCACCATCAAATATTACCTATTTAGGATACATGTTTCTATAATTATTTTGTGCATTTGAGGTCATTTCTTTTTTAAGCTTTAATTAAATGTGCTTCTCGCCGTGCACCTCTGCACTGCGGCAAAGCGACCCCTGTGAAGTGGACATTGTGATTTTGCATATACCGTTTGGTGCAATCTTCGAGTGCTCTGTGTTGCACGCACACACATCAGGTAACGAAAAAGAAACAAGACCTGAGGGATACCGATCTGAAAACTCGCCTTGCAGTTGAATGTTTAAAAATTAAAGCTGCGGCCGGTCCGTGTTACCTGCGATGCCCTGCCGAGTGGTGTGTATCAGTAGTCCTGACTGTGCGTTAGCTTTTCGGATTCGAGATTCAAGGAAACTTGGGAATAGCAACGAGATATTTAAATGACCTCGATTAGGCACCATAGTAGCCTTAATTTATTTTCTTCAGTTATTGTATTTAATGGGTATTTATAAAGCTTAAATTAGAACCAAATTATCTTTAGCAGAGGACGAATAGAGGTACGGTCCACGATTATAACGACATCGCTTTTTTCGGATTATCTCTTATCGAAGTTCAACGTGGCCCCGACCTAATTTCATGCATTCTGAACGGGACTATTCGAAGCGAACTGGCGTCCGACCAAGCTTATTAGGAAGGCCGAGGTGCTGAATGCATGGAGGTGCACGGAACAAACGTCAAACAAGAAAACAAGCAGGTAATGGAGGGCGGAACCCCGCTTCCGATGCGCCGACGCAGCCACGGAGCAGCATCCAGGTTCCGACGCTAGGCACGGCGGGGGTTGCGCACGCAGCCAACACGGCCCGGCTTTTATCGGAATCGGGTCAGGGAAGCAAGGAGCCCGGGGGAGGTCATCCCTTCAAGAAGCCGCGTTGCTTCCCGCCAGCCCTGCATGCCTGTGGCATAAACGTGCATCGTGTGCGGCTGTTTACCGAAAGTTGCTTCGATGTGTGAGGTTAAAAAAGGTGGCCGGCGCAAGTCTGAAGTTTCCAGGAAATTCGCCATTCCGGAATCGACTGTTCGACACTACTGACCATCTTGTAGAACAAGCAAGACGTACTGGACAAGTTCGAGAAGAGTTTCTCGCTCAAGAGAAAGCGGACCCATGACTCGTAGATTAAAAGTCACCAACGCCTTTGTACGCACGTTGGATTTTTTTGCGCTCACATAATTCCCAAAGGTGCAACGATCTCTACGGGAGTGTGTGCGAACACGTTGGTGAAGCCACTGAGAATAACTTTGATTTGTTTGCGCTTGTCATTATGGGCATTCTCATTGTTGCTCCTGTCTCGGAGGCTGCGATCGCAGACCTTCTGTGCGGCGAAGGTAAACACAAAGCGACGTCGGAGAGGCACCTCGGGAAACACCAACGACTGCAGATATGCAAAACATCCTAGGGCTGCTTTGGAACAAAGTGCAGTACAGTGGCGGGACAGTGCTCTTGCGATGCCTGAAGCAGTTGAAGAACTGGTGCCCGGAAAAAATTATCGCCAAACTCCACTTACCATATTTATTCGAATTTAAGCCAACCTCCTTTTTCTTCCAGAAATGTCAAAAATTAAGGGTTGACCTATAGCCGTGACCAAAGAATTTCGACCTACATTCGTGACCACATTTTGCGACCTTACCGAGGGCACGGAGCTATCGAGCCACCGAGCCGGCGTCGCCTAGAGCCGCGCCGCTTCTTGTTTCAGAAAGATTTCAGTGCACGAAAATAACCGAAAAAGCAGCAGTTGGTGCGGTCTGCCCGCCATGGCCGCCGCTCACACGCATCCGTTGGGCGTCGAGTTTCGCGCCTATCCGCTGCCGGCGCTGCTCACGGATGCCCCTCGCTACGCAAGGAAGGAGGGTGAGGGAAAGGGGTGCGGATGTGCCATCCACCTCACCTTCTCCCCTCCATCCCTCTCTTCCTCCCAGACAAGCACCAAAGGAAAGAAAAATATGGAGGTTACTTTTGTTTTTTGTTGCTCACAGCGGCTCGCTCGTTGCTCGCGTCTTTGTATTTGGTCTTTCGTCACTTCGGCCATCTCTACCTTCTTGTGTTTCTTGCTGTTGTCATTTTACAACGGTGTCAGTGAGGTATTGCGAATTTGTGAGGATGTCTACAAAGTTGACGAAGCTTCCGACAATGATCACTTGTCCGGCAGTTCCGACGATGAAGTTTTTGGCATCGCGCTGTGATTTAGCTGAGAGTGCTGTAAATAAAAGTTTCTTTTTTTTCTTTTCTTTTTTTTCAAACTAGCCGCCTCGGTGGCTCCGACGCGAGAGCGCCGGCCTACGGATCCCTAGGTGGCGGGTTCGAATCCCGACCGAGGTGCCCGCAATATGCCGGAGGCTTATTGCGGAGAAGGCACCGTGTAACCGAGCTTTCGGTTGCACGTCAAAAGATCCCCAGGTGGTCCAAATTAATCCTCAGTCCTCCGCTGGGGCGTGCCAGATGCCCGTCGTAGGTTTGGCACGTAAAACCCCCAAATTTGACTTTTTTTTTTTTTTTCCAAACTTTCCTTTGTTTTTTAAAGAAAATGGTTAACCTCTATTGATTGTGGGCTATATAAGGAGGCGGACTAGATAAACCTGGTAGCTGAGTTTGAGACGTCGTCCTTTTCTGTTCCTTCGACTTATTTGTTCACTTCTGCCCCAGTCTCAGGTTATTCAACATAGTTAACCTATATTCAACTTTTTTTTTTTGCCAGTTTATTTGTAGGGGCATTGACCTATATTTGTGGTTGACTTATATTCGAGTAAATACGTTAATTACTTCTTTATTCCTCAGTTAAGCTGCCATGAGTAACCAAAGTTTGTTTGATTAAATATATAAAATATATAGTCACTGTGTTCTGCAGTGTTTCTGTCCACCCTCAAGGCTGCTGTCCTTGTTTTTTGGCTTTCTTGCTTTTGTCAAATTACCACTTTTATCTAAATTTTCGCCGTCCCGTTGACTTTGTGATAACGAGGAACTACTGTGTAGTTAGTGTCCTCGACGAGTTCAACTGAGTTTTTTAAAGAAGGTATATTTAGTGTCATCTTGCTCATTTCGCAGCATTCAAGATTATATGAGAAGTGCCAGTGATGTTCATAATTCAATAAAAAACCTTTCTTATTTTAACTTAATTAAGAATTGCAGTCCTATTGCGACTCTCAAAACTTGAACAAAAGACACAATTTTGTACTCAAAAGCATTTATTCTAATATTTAAAGTGGAATACAATTTGGGTTGCTTTTGATTCCATATATAAACTAACCACTCACACTTGTTTATGTTGTGTCCTTCAACAACTGTTATATGTTAAAAACAGAACAAAAAACTTCTAGATTGGAGCTTTAAAAAGATAACTCTTGTCATATTATTCTTGAATCTATGTCTAGTGTTTTTAAGCACACTGAACAGCTCATAGTTTAAATAAATGTTCAAAGAAATCAGATTGTCTCCTGTAGATTTCAAACAAAATTGCTTACTTTGTATTTTTAGAGGAAACAGCTACCCAAAAACAAATACACAAAAAATAAAAAAGTGGTGCATCCTCACGCACTCCCGACAACGCACAAAAAAAAAATTTTTTTAAATGTCCCGTGTCACGAGCAGCGTTGGCCTCAGACGTTTTTGTGTGACTTTTTTTTTTCTCCCCCTTATACGTCTTGGCCTTGGCAACCGGTGTTGCTCTCTCTATCACCCTCTCGCTCAAGGTTATCTTCCACTCTTGTTCTTTCATTCTTCCTTTTTAAGGGTTCTTCCGTTTTTTTGTTGTTCTTTGCATTCTTGCGTCTTGGTTTTGCTGTCTCATCTATGAGGGTTGGTTGTTGATAATTTTGTTGCAGTCGTTTTGCTCTCCCCATCGCACCCGCCTACCGCGCACGTGTGAGCGTCGAGTCAGTTGGCGCGATTGTTGGAAGGGTTCCTCCGCACTATGCACGATCAGTGCAATGAAAATTTGGTACCTCGCTTATTTCGAAACTTCACTTATCTCAAATTTTTTTCCAGTTCTTATGACTTCAAGTTAACAAGGATCTACTGTACATAAAAATTTCGCAGATGATCGTGCAACGCGATGTGAATAAACAGCGTCAGGTGGCGCAACATTTTGATCGTATTGCATCGTGATTGACTGGAAATTCCAGCCACGTTGTGTCGTGCGGTGTCTCGCATAAACCACAGCCTATCTCACACAGAACAGCAGCACCAAACATGTTCTCAAGGACACGCTGCACAAATTGCTCGGTCGCACCAGGCTGTCCTTTTTTCGCTCGGTAACATTCTCTTCTACGCTTCGCTTTACTTTCACGTGCAGCACAATCTTGACATTGAATGCGTTTCATCCTAACATCCAGGGCAAGACCATCGGCACCTACGCATCAGTGACATTCCCTCTCAAGGAGGCATTTATGCCGTCGAGCAGCCGCTGCGTGTTTCGGGGTCTGCTTTGGCCACCCCACTCTTGCGCGCAAAGGCTTAGAGCACCAAGGGAATGGCCGACCGAAGATGAGAAGAGCAGGTGGCGAGGAGTGCAATTGCACGACCCCCGGCGCAACTGCATTCGTCCGAACGCTCTGCGCCTTGACAATGACCTTTAAGGGATATGCACACGGGGGATGCTTTTCGGGGAGGGATGTGCGTGGCATCAGTGCCCGGCAGGACCAGCGGGGCTCCCTCACCGACTTCAGCATTCACATGAATATCCAAGAGGGATGTCAGTGTTATCAGACGAATTTAGCGGTCACACTTTCGACAACGGGGCTCGGTGCACGCTGACGAGAGTAGGAAAACGGAGGCAGATATGAAACAGCGTTTTGCGATTATGGCGACAGCGCTGTTAGATGCAAAAAACAACGAACTTTGCCTGGTAAAAGAAAGCTGCTTCTTAAACAGGTGGATGCAACGTAAGGGACATGGATACAAAACCAGTTATATGAGGAGCGGCTTGAGGAGGGCAGTGACAGATATCGAAGACTCCTTCGCGTGCCTCAAACGACATGCGCAACAGCACAAGCCACGAGTTAGGCGATTTTGATGCCACCGCCGGTATCTCGCTGAGCAAAATCTCTAAAGTTGCCAGACACGCAAACAAAATACCACCAATTACGAAGAGGTCCCACGCCAACGCGGGGAGTGTTTGTGCAGGCCCAGCAAAAGCTCCTCCATTCCCCTGGGACATCGTCAGCGCGGCTTCATGCAAAAGGCATGACATTGTTACCACGTGATACTCATCCCGGGGAGCAAAGGGAGAGATTTCTATCCCATGGGAAAACCCCTTTATCAGCAAAAGGGAGAAGGTAACACTGCTGTACTCACCCTCTCCTGGCACCAAGGTCGCTCGCGATAAATGCGAGCATGCTTCGTTCGTTTCCGGCAACACATCGCTTGCCCAGTGCAAGCCAAGTACAGCTGATGCTGTAAAAAGTGGATACGCATGAAAGTAAGTGACAGCTGATGCTGTTACTCACTCGCATCCTGAGGCAGAAAGCTGCCGATTTTTACTTATTTCCCCGCTACATTTTGCGGGGAAATCGTCACTCTATGTCTGTGACGCCGTCACGTGACTTGGTGTCGTGGTTTCAAGTCGATGTCACAGGATGTCGTGACGTCCACCGACTCCATAGTCTCCAGTAAATTCAGCGAGGAAATGCACGAGCGGACGGACAGACAAATTTCGGGGGTTTGATTAGAAAAAGTCTACGCTTCAAAGGTGCGAAATTTCAATGGTCACTGATATGCCTCAAAATTCTTCCATCGCAACGTCGACTCATCTGAACTAGTAACCCAAATTACAAGTCACATTCATTGTTTTTCACAAAGTTAACGAAGTTTCACATTTGGCTCGTGAGTCCGAGAGGCTTTACTGGCAGTAGTGAAAACATCACTTCAAATGTTGCAATATGGGGACGGTACAGCTTCTTCGCAATGGGTTGCAAGAAGTTTAGTGATTGAAATCAATGCTGGGGAAGCTTGCGTCAGCAAAATGAAGAAAAACGGGCAAAGTGATGCGTTTTAGAAACCGTCTGCTTAACTCGCGAGTCCCACAACGCGTGACATTGCCCCCATTGGTGAGAGCAGAAAAATTTGAAGATTGGTTTTGGTGTTGGCCTTCATTTGCCGTTTTCCCGATAGCCATTTTGAATTTAGCGATGGTAAGTGGCTGTGACTGTGACGAGTAAAGCCAGGGTATTCCGAGAATCCGTTTAGCTCGGAAAACTGCCGGAGCTTCCCTCGAATAAATAAATGAATGGACGGATCTTCAGCACCCCTTTGCCCGAGTTTCTTTTTTCGGTTGTCTGTCGAAGAGGTGGGGAGCTTTGTGGTGTGACGGGCCGACGTCCCCTTTTGTCGACTTGTTTGTGCAGAATCCGGAGACGACGGGGAGGCGCAGAACTCAGACGCGGAAGACGGCGATCCGCAGGCGGAGCCGGTGGTGGACGCGTCGTGGCAGCTGGAGCGCCTCGAGCGCCAGCGATGGCTTCAGGACCAGGTTGGTGCACCCGGCTCGCTGCCAGTGAAATGCACACGTTGCTCCGAGCACCGTGATGCATCGGTTTCTAGCCGAAACTTTATAAAGTATGGGCATATTATTAAGGTACTGTGCGGTAGAATATGGAGAAGCGTTGGGACAATGTGCATTCGGAGGTGGGTGCGAGGGGTCAATGACCCCGGGATTTCGGGCTTATTGACGACGGAGCGTTTCGGCGGTGTACCCTTAGGCCGGAGTCACGCTGCAGTACATCGTACAAAAGACAGTCGCACACATTCTCGGAGGCACGTTTCTTCCTTGTACAATGGACGTAGCTCGTACAAAAATTGTCCGCAGCCACGTTCGAAGCATACGTACGTACGAAACAAACGAGCTTCAAAGGTGCCTGAGGCACGTCCTCAGACACTTCCGTCTCCGTGTCACGACGAATACCGATTCTTTTTGTACAATGTATGAGCAGTCTGACTGCGGCTTTCTGGTTATGTAATGTGAGTGACAAGTTTGATGTATGCGTAGCAAGCATGGCGGAAGCTCAAAGTCGTCGTGATCATAAAACCGACACCGTCAAACTTGGCAGCCCGTTGTTACTCATATTTCCGGCGATGAAAGCAGTATAATACGACCAGAGGACTCCGATCGTACTAAAATATTATGGTCTCCATAGGTCCAATTGTGGCGTGCCGCGTCAACACTTTGGCCCCATAATTCCAGGGTTGCTCCCGTTTAAAAAAAACGTTCATACTCCCCCCACCTCCCCTCTCCGTCTAAAAATAGGGTTTGCCCCCCCCCCATTGAAAAAAGTTCTGTGGATGCCCATGGTTGACCATTGCAGCTCTGCAACGAGAGCTCACGAGGTCGCACGTGCGGTGAACGTATGCAGTACCGCGATCGATGTGCCGGCAGCAGCCCCCCCCCCTGTGCCAAGCGTTCACGATGCCGTCGTCGCCGTTCCGAGTTTCTGTATTTTGACCGCCACAGTTTAGAAGTCACAGTGTCAGCTTGGGGTGAGCTGACCCCAATATGGAGGATGTTTTGGATGGTTCTGCTAGTTTAGCGGTGGTCAACGCTTAAGTGTGACGCCTAGACGGCTCCGGTGAAAAAACAACAGACCTAGTCTCGCGTGCCTGGCTGCCGAACGGGCTACAGACTCGTGACAGGCAAGAAGACAACGGCCTTTCTCGGCGTTTCAAAGGTCACTGCCACGAGTGACGTGCGGGAAAGGAATTAACCCGCACATTGAAACACGCACGCACGCACCTCGCCCCTAAAACAGCTATGCGACACCTGTTGAAATCTCCTCCGCTACGCGCGTCACATGAGCGGAGCCAGTCGCAACACTACCCCATGCTCTAGTATGCCACACTTTAGGCTTGATTGCCACGGCAACCATCTTGAATGGCTACGGAACGTTTTTTTTACAGCCGATAGTCACAATTGCTAAGGTTTCACGGTGGATCCCCAGGTGTGTTTCGTATAGGGTCGTTGTGGCTGGGAAATTTATTGGATAAATTTAACGGAGCAATTTTTCGGTACCAAATATATTTTTGTCACGTGACATTGTGGCGTCACCTGACATCACGTGGCTTACGGTTAGTGTACAGTGCGACCGTGTGTAGTCCGAGCGTAGCAGTGTGTGCAGTGCCTTTGCTGTCGCCGCAGTTTATTTGCGCAAAACAACAAGATATTTTTTTTTATTATTAAACGAAACATTAAATTGCAGATTTAAAAGCAGTTTTTTCTATATTGTTGTAATTGGGAATTTGAGGGCAAACCATTATACTGTATTAGGTAGGTTACGTAATTAAGTATTTCGTGTGTTTGCCATGGGTTTTCCCATTTTTTCTGCTAACACTACAGTTGGGGTGGGTGATAGTTTAACATTGCACACTTACCGCAATATCCCGAGTCAACATCCCCCCCCCGCCATCTGAAATTCATAAAAAAAAGGGCCATGTCTTGGTGGGTAAGCACAAAAAGTTTAGAAAAAAGTAAACAGTTTTTTTGTAAATACAGTTGCCGACCAGTTTTTCGCACTACGCAGGGGCCGAGAAAACATCCGAATAATAGAGCAGTTGGAAAATTTAAAAAAAGCTATCCATAGTGCCTTGCTTCAGGTTAGGCCTCCACTTGTGTTAGACCACTTTCTATCATCTTGAGAATCGCTGCTTTCTTTTCTAGCATTATCGTTGAGTGCTTTCTGCGCTTTTTAGTGACACTTCGCAATGGCGGAAGAACAGTTTGGGCAATGACGTCCAAGCCAGCATAGTCCGAAAACACGATTCACCGAGACGAGATGAGTGGCGCAAGTCCACGACTGCGGAATGGCGAATGAACAGAGCAAAATGGTAACAATGATAATGTGACGCGCAGCTAAAGAAAAATAAAAGCCAAAGCATAGTGTCACCTAGCGGTAGGACTTAGCAGCACTCAAACACTTCTGCCAAACCAAGCCATTCCATGTGCAGCCAACATGGAACTAGGTGCATGGTCACGGTTCCTTCTTTAAAGTCCGAAATATTGAACAAGTCCAAATTATCGGCGTTCGCAAAATCGGTTGGCGACTCTATCTAGTGCTACTGCTCAACAACAACATTAAACTCAAAACTCGAATTAGTTTCATTGTTTTAAGCAAAAAATTCTTATGGAGGAATGTTTTACTATCGCAGAGTCCGTTGCTTGCATACGCACGATGAACACGCTAATCAGCAAACAGTGCAAACGTTTGTTGTGTGAAAGCATGTTTCTAACACCGCTATGTTATCTTCGTTAGTAAAAAAAAAAGTCAACAAGAAAATAGACAAAACCAACCAGGTGCAACAAGCAAGCGGGTGGAGGAAGCAACGAAGAGCGATGTTGGAAAAGCAGGGAATCCGGCGATCGGCATTGGCAAGATACTTTGGCGTCGGGCCAAGTTGGCACCTTGTCAGTCTCAAGGCGCAGGCTCTTGTGCAACTTTTTTGCCTGGTGCATACATGCGTGCATCAGTATGCGGTGGGCTATCAATACGCGTTGAGGCAACGTTGCTGCGTAGCAGACGACAGCACAAACACAGCTCGAAATAGGACACTTAACGAATGTCTTTGTGCGGCGTTCCTGCAAATATTTATTTTTCCCACTGGCTTTGCCTTAAACATCGCACAGCCTTACAAACCACGGTCGCGACATTCCGGGGAAGGAGTGGGTTCGTGGTGACCTTATTTCGGTGGAGACGGACTTTGACGTGACATCTTTGACCTTACACTCCGCGGTTACATTCCAGGATATGGGGCATTCGCTGACCTTGCAATCCTTGAATCGGTTATCTTTCCGACTTTTTTTTTTTTCTGTCCGAACAAACTTTTTTGTAAGCAAAGCAAAGTCTAGTTTTGTTATCTCCGTTGTTTTCCTCTCACACACATGTACTCAGACTTCGGGATCGCGGAAATTGGAGAGGAAATCCGTAAACAGAGAAGTGTTTTTCTCGCCTCCGTTTTACTTTGTCACGGACGTTTTCCAACCGTAAGGTCCGCGGCTACGTCATTCGGGATGGATGAATGTTTGCGAAATTGCGGAGTCCGCGTTGGAGTATTTGCGGGGGTGGCCGATCACCTTGTATATTTTTTTAATCGGTATTCGCCCAAAAAGTGGGGCGAGTGATGACTCGGGAATGGGCAAGGAATCGGGATATTTTGATAGTTATAATTTTGTTTGGATGTATGTATATATATCAAGACTTCTACAACTTTCTTTCACCCTCATGTATTGCATGCTTGATGCCTTTGGTGTAAAATAAATAAATAATATCAAATTAGCAGATTTTGTTCCACATCCTATAAATACAGGTTTCAGAGTACAGGTTCCCAAATTGGTGGTCATGTAAACATCTCTGTTTTTCTATTCCAGGCAGATGCGGAGAAAGCAGCAGAAGCTTCAGCCAGAGCCGCACGTCTCTCCGAACAGGATTCCTCCTCGAACTTCCCTCTTGGTAAGTAACCTGCACAGGGCATTGGATAGAGTAAGTCGCTTTCCCTTCAGCAAATCTGGTGTACTAGATTCGTCAAATAAGGATATTCGCTGAGCTCCAAAGCACTGCTAGTCGTCATACACTAAGCTTCATTGAATCTCTATATTAGTTTGATGTATTGAGCAGTTCATAGGTCAGTTTCTACATATACCTTATTTACTCGCTTAATGAACACACTTTATTTCCCAAAAATTTGCGCATATTTGGGGTAAAATGTTTGCATTTACAAACCTTGTGCAAATGTCATTTCAGGTGCCAATATGACATGGCACGGTACTGTGGCACGTCTCCATTGATGGAGGCACACCCACGGCTGGTCGGGGACATGCCACAGTAACCATGCTTTAGAAATTGCGAACCTTTTTAGGGTGCTTTCGGAGTGCCTTTTGCCGAAGTAAGAGAGCCCTACAAAGCTCACTCGGCAAGAAGAGCAGTGCAATCATTCTTAGGCCTAACCACTTTCACGATTTCACTGCCCAAAAGCGGGCCACAGACAACGGTGTGTTTGTTGACATCAATGCATCCGATAGGCGAAGAATGTCCGGGGCTGGGGAATTCCTCGACCCAAGCTTCGTCAAGTGCGCACGCCGCTCGGTTTCACGGTTGATCACTTCCGCAACTACGCACTTTCAGTTATTACGAGAGCGGCTTGGCTGGTCTTGACTCAGCCTGACCGGCAAAAGAAAATTGGCTTGGTGGGCTTGGTGGCTAGCTAAGTTGGACGCAATTCGAGACTCACGGAGCCAAGATTGGAAATGCGTTCATTACGAGAGGAAAAAAAAAAGTCCAAATATTGGTACTTGTTGTAGGGGGTGCGTTCATTAAGCGAGTGCATTCATTATGTGAGTAAATACGGTAATGATTTTCAAAGCCAGGAATTCGTAATGTACAAGTACCGTAGACACTTTCCCATGTATTCCAGTAGAACCCCAATTATACGACTTTCACGAGAGTACAAGAAAATGTATAATTCGTGAGTCGTATAATCTGAAAACAGTCGTATCCCGCTACAACGGTGTTGACAGGACACGTGAAAATGTTTCTTCTCACGAGAACTTTGTTATTGTGAATTCAATGTAAAATCGGCCAACAATATTAGTCTTGGTGATATATTACGGAAGAACCCACGGATGCGCCCAAGCCTCAACTTTAGCGTGATATATTAGTTGATAGATTAGTTCTGGTGGCACATGAACGAGGTTTAATTCCAGAAATCACTGTGCCTTTTTTTGTATCGGAGAAGCGTGATGCTATGCTTGGTAGTGGGACAGCGATTGCTCCGCAGTAGCGTCGTCATAGGCAAAAGTTCTGATGATTTGGAAAGCATCCATTTCCTGGGACGTGAAAGTCGATGGAGTCCTGCACAGCATACCGTAAAATACCGGGGAAGTGCTCAGCCCACTTTCACTGAAAAATTGGTTAGTCTAGACATGGGCGCTTTCCCGGTTGAAGCAGTAAAAAGCAAGATGGCGGCAGCGTGCACACTTTAGCAAGAGGTGTCTCACGAGAGCCCTGGGACCACTGGTTTTGTTTCCAAGAGCTGTTGATTGTGACACGGCATTATCTTGACCCCCATCGGTCCTGACATGACTACAACTGGGCTGCTGACGTCCAGCATTGTAAGGACCTCTGACTGTACCCAAGTGACCTAGGTAACACAGTTAATGTTTTCCCCCGCCCAATAAGTCTTTTCCTTTCCATCGCAAGCAACGAAGCACACGGGGTGGGTGCTAAACATATTATCAGATTTTCGAAGTTTTGGAAATGTTAATACAGTCGAATCTCATTAATTGAAACTCTCTTAATTCAAACTTGGGGATAATTCAAAGTAACATGCAGGTTCCATCCTATGAGTCTCTATAGGAGGAAACTCCCGTTAATTAAACTTTGCTTTATTCAAACATGTTCGGTCCCCCTCGAGTTTGAATTAATGACATTTGACTGTAGTGGGAGCTTGTCCGAAAGTGGCCGCTTCCCCGGTATTTTACAGTAGTCTTTATAACTTGAGGAACTGCAATTGCAAACAGTTTTTATGATTTGATTTTCATTCATACCTCTATGAACAATCACATCTGTCGGCATGAATGCCAACAAAAACTTGCCGAAATCGCTTGGGATATCTGCCTTCTTTTTTTCACTTGCCGCCTTGGTGATAACACGTGTCTTTCTTTACAGCAGAGCTGTTAAGGGCTAGGTTCCCCAGGATTGTGTCCGGTACCAAAGAAATGTCGACGCAAACCTACACAAACCTCTGGACAGCTACCGCCATCTATAAGCGACGGCGGCAACCAAGCAACCAGTCTGGTTACCACCCTCGCTCATAGATGGCGGCAGCCTTTCCAGCTATCATAGAAGAATGAATAGTTGGGCGAGTTGGTGTGAAATCATCGTAAGACACAGCATGAAAAACAGACGAGGACAAAGAAAAAACACACGTGACGAGCGCAGCGCCCGTCACGTGTGTTTCTTCTTCGTCCTCGTCTGTTTTGCACGCTGTTTCCTACGCTCTTATCACTTTTGCTTTGGACTCACGATGCGTCGGCCGCGTGCCCTTTCTTTGGGGAAAGGAGACCAAGTGCGGAAGGAGCGGCGACGTACGCTGAAGCGCGAATGGGTCCGCAACTGCCGCGTGCGTCAAGAGATTCAGATTCCCTTGTGAAAGAAGTGCGGATCGCTCGCCTGAAAAGCTACCGCCGAGAACAGAAGCTACAGCTCCGCCGCTCTTCCTTCTTCACCAGAGTGGAAAGGCTGAAAGTTTTTAAGAGAAAGTGTATCTTCTTGCACAGGGGTGTTATGCTGTCACATTTGGGAGCTTCTGACGAGAAGGATCTGTTTCTGTTTGAAACCGGACCAAATCCTTGTGCAAGTAGTGAATTTTGAGTTCGAAGCAAATTTAAAGTGAACAGTGGTTTTTTGCCACATATTTTCTAATATGGTATTGAGTAGTTTCTTGACCAACAACCACGCTCTGTCAACTTGCTCACCATAGATGTGACTTGGCTAGGCTTGAGCCCAAACGTGATGCAAGTCAGCCTCTGGAGGGAGTTTGGAGGCTTTAGAGCTATTGCGGAGCGCTTGTGTACATCGTCTTCACCACCAAACATTGCTACAATGTTTATGTTTAGTTTCCAGCCTCCAAGCAGCAGTTTGTAGGGCAGCTGTGCTTTCTTTGGCCGTGTAGTGACATCGCAAGCCACAATATCAAACAGGAAGATGATTTTATATTTTTTAAATTTATAAATAAAACAACCATGTTTTGCTTTTCTTTATGATAACTTAATTGAAGAGGAACGGCATTTGTAAATAAGACAATCGAGTTTTTATTTTTTTATGAAAGCTTTATTTTAGTAAAGCAGCATTTGAAAAGTTGTTTGTTGTGGAGAGACTTTTTATAAGCTGTGTTTTTTATGGATAAAAGAAGGGGAATGTTAATACTTCATTTTTGCAGAAATTTCGTAAAAATGGCATTCTCTCTAGCAGGATTAGACTGTTACCTGAAACACAATGATTTCCATTTTGGTGCTTGGCCCCCACAGAGCAGAAAAATTAATATTAAGCTGGGATAAAAAGAGATAAAGCCCTCGAATAAACCAAAATTAAATCAAAATCTGGTGTGGTAAAAGCAGTGATAACGTCTTTTTTTTTTACGTTACCGTATTTTCAGAAAAGTGATAAGTAATTTTCTTTCGAGATCTGCAGCCTCTAGAAGCAAGTGAGAGACACCGTCTTGGGGCAAACGGGTATTATCGAAGCGGAAAGAAGAGCTAGAAAAGCTTTGCTAGTATAGTCTGTTCAAAGTATGAATTCTTAAATCCTTTAATTCTTTCCTTTGCCATTTTTAAACAATAGTTAAATGATGCCATCCAAAGGTATGCTAAATTCACTAATACTATAGAAAATGTCTCCCACACTCTCGTAGATACGGGGAAAAAAGATATATTCCTAAGTGTAATCATAGAAAGAGATTAAAATTCTATGTGGGGATCTGACACTTCCATAGCGTGATTATTTTTGTAAACTTACTTCCATAACAAGTAAACATTGTTTCGGTTTTCTTCCATTCACTTAGTACTAATTTCGCAGCCACTGCGCATGTTCCCACGAAATCAGGACATGAGGCTTCCTTGGTACAAAATGACGGGACGGCAGAAACGAACCTCTAAAAGGGGCTCAAAACGGGACGTCTGGCCACCGTAGGCTTACCTCACTCGGCACCGATTTTTGCGTCTCTTCAACAGCCCGAATGCAGGAGTCTAGGCTCAGCAAGAGGGAGGGCGCCAAGACGCCGGCCGTCTGCGGCTCCTTCCTGAAGCTGGGCACGTCCGTGCTGGACCGCATCGCCAACCGCATCAAGGTGGCGGCTCGCGCCGAGAAAGATGGACTGGTCACCACCAAGAACTTCGTCTTCGGGACCACCGACGACAAACCGGTATGGCTTGGTTCTAGCCGTCTCATTGGCACCGAGGCGAACTGCGGTCAAATGGATGTAGCCGCTCAACGTCTATACAGGAGAGGGCACTGCGGTTAAATCCGTATATAATCGCGTTAAACTTTGCATGCATTGGCTCAACGTTTATAGACTAGAGGGCGCTGTGGTCAAATGCTCAAATGCATATATAACCACGATCCATACCACACATTCTCTTTCTGACATGGACCGTTGACTTAAGCGGTGGGGATGCGTTCCCACGGCTTCTAGCGGATCCAAGCTGATCCGCTAGAACCACTGGCTCTGCATTTCACCGACCATAAAGCAGTAACAATGAAGTCGAAACGCAACCCGGAACTCAGCACTACCTATGAGCAATAAAAAAAAAATCAGCACCATCAGCACTGCCTATGAACAATAAAATCAATATCATCAGCACCACCAGAGCTTCGCCCCAATCAACATCATTCACCACGTGGAGATGCGTCCATTTCTTTTTATTTTTAAAAGTGTTGCAGATGGATTCTCACAGTCCAAAATTCTTCAGATATCAATGGAATCGGCCAAACGTACAGTCGAGCCTGGTTATATCACGCCCGTGTATTTCGAATTATTGTTTATATGAAACGGTCCAAACATCGCCTAGAAATTCACATTGTTTTTCTGTATCGAACGCCCATAACTCCCATGGCGGGGACACTATGTAGCAAACGGAGACGAAGCACGGCCGTCCTTCGCTTCTCCCGGGGTCGGATTGCGCCGGCGAGGAGCACATAGCTCGGGTTGCGGGGCTGGCAGACCGCCAAGCCAGCATACGCGCACGCGGGGATACGCAGCGAAAAAGCAATTGTATGAAAAATTTAAAAAAGCAACCAATAAAAACAAAAAAGTGGAGGATGGCAAAAGCAAGAGGAAGGGCACCCGTGCGCGTAAGGAGGGTGGGGAGTACCCGCTGTTAGAACAGTTGCCTGCGCTCTTTTCCCCGAACACCGCTGTCCCTGCGCGACACCTTAGCCCCAGAATAAAGAGCAAAAAAAAAAAAAAAGAAAAGATTTCGTCAACTGGAGTGTGTTGACAACAAGGGTTGAGCAACCGCATTTTGAACGCCTTATCTTTGTTTACCTTTTTCTTTCCCCGTTATTGTTCTTCTTTTTTCTTTTAGAGCGCAGCTTTTAGGCGCCCGTTTCCGCCTTGAGCGGCGTCGCCGTCGGTGTAACCGTGAGGTCACGTGACCCCCCCCCCCCCCCCCTGAGGTCACATGACCTCACGGGGGGGTGGGCGGGTCACGTAAACCTCAGTTTACCTTTTTTTATATTTTATTCGCTATGAATTTTACTAACCACTCCATTCTGTTTTCTTTTTGAATCTAATAAAAGTTACTCATTACCGTTAAAACTGTATTATGTCGTTTTTTGTTTTTTTTTTAAATTTTATAACATGCTTTTTAGAGAGTGACAGCATCTGGCGACATGGTGTCAGCCCATCTTGACCTAAAACAAAGTTCTGTGTCACTCGGGGAATTTCGAAAAAGACTTAAAAGTAAACATTTGACAGAAGTCTGTCTGGTTGGGGAATGATTATTAAAATACGACGACCAACCAATCCCTAAATCAGGGGCCCAACGTTTCGAAGCCGGTTCGGCTTCTTCTTCAGGGGCGACTACGGAGGAAAGGAGCCGCAATCTTCCTTTTCCTCTATGACGGAGGCGAATGTGCATGATCCCATCTTCTTCCTCTTTGATCGTTTTTTGAACACAACTGGTGGAGTCCGTTCACATACACAGATAGCAGTGCACCAAGAGACCTATTAATGTTTGTTGGCGTGGTCTGAATGTGCCAAGATTCAAGGAAGAGCCTCCGGCGAGGATTAGTTTCAATGTCCAGGATACGTGTGTTTAGAAAGTCAATGCGGTGGTCATTTTTTTCACAGTGTTCAGCAACCGCGCTGCGCTCTTGATTGAAGTTGCGCACATCAGCCTTGTGTTGACACATCCGTTCATGATAGTTCTTTGTTTCCCCGATGTACGAGGACGGGCACTCCGCACAGGGAATCTCGTACACCACACCGTGCGCTTTCTCTTTAGGGGGCCGATCTTTTGGTCGTGGCATAAAGCGTCCAAGGGTTGAAATTTGCTTGTGGGCCATCTGAATGCCCTCCTTTGCTAGCACCCGTGCCAGCGCTTCACTTGTTCCCTTGATGTATGGGACGCTGATGCGTGTGGTTGGCCGGCGTTTCGTATCAACCTGCAACTGGTGGTGTTGTCGGCTGCGGTTTTGACGACGGGCAATGCGGTGTATGAAGCTGCCCGTGTATCCGTTCTTCTTGAGGTCGCAAATGATGGTTTCTTCTTCTTTTTGTCGGTCAGAATCAGTTGAGCAAAGGTTCTTTGCCCTTGGTAGGAGTGTGTTTACCACCGATACTTTATGGCTCATTGGGTGGTTGGAGTCAAATTGTAAGTACCTTCCGGTGTGCGTTGGTTTGCGGTAAACTGAGAACTCGAGATGGTCTTTCTGCCTATGTACAAGCACATCGAGAAACGGTAAGGTGTTGTTTTTTTCCCGTTCCACGGTGAATTGGATGTTAGGCTCGATCGAATTGAGGTGTGTCAAAAAGTTGTCTACTTGAGACTTCTTCATGACGCAGAAGCAGTCGTCCACATATCTTAGAAAAACCTTGGGGCTTTCAGCAAAGGACTGGAGAGCCTTTTGTTCTATGGCTTCCATGCACAGGTTTGCCGTGGCGACAGAGATGGAGGCCCCCATTGCGGTTCCACTGGTCTGCTTAAAGTACTCTCCTTTGAAGCTGAAATAAGTGTTACTCAGGCAGAATTCAAGGAGGCGGCAAAGTTCGTCCACGTTGAGCTTGGTCCTGTTGCTCAAATCGCTGTCTTTCTCCAGGGTGTTTCTGGCAGTCATGACTGCTAAGGAGACCGGAACGCTTGTGAACAGGGATATCACGTCAAAAGATACCAGAATCTCCTCGGCGCTTATCTTTAAATGCGAAATCTGCTCTACGAAGTCGCTGGCATTGCGCACATATGTCGGGGTTTTCCCAACGAGAGGAGAGATGGTGTGATGAAGGTATTCACTGAGTGAGTAGGGTTGGTTATTCTCCTTTTCAGGTCCTCAAAGTTGGCTTGTACCGATTAAGTTTTCTGCATTTACCTTCTTGCAAGTGTAATCGTCCAATACACCTCTCCTGCCACCCAGTGGACAGGGCCCCCATCGTTCCCGCCGATAAATATAAGGAGCCCCCGAAACTAGGGGAAGAGGCTATAAAAGGATTAGTTTCTCAAAATCGCTCGATATCAGAGCGGTTGTCGGCCAGTGTGGTTCCGAGATCACACTGTTTCACGCTGGTCATTAGTCTAGTGAAGAATGTTGAAGTTCTCAGTGTGTTGTTAGTGCCGTCACTGCATGTGTGGGGGACGTATACAAGGTAGCTACACCCAAGTGTACAATATGGATCAAGCTGGATTTGATGGCACAAACACCCATTGCTTGCAGTTTTAAAGTCTCTACTACAGGCAAATCTGGGACCGTGGTTGCAGTGCCGCCGAAATGAAGAAGACTGTTTATGTTCACTTTTGTTACTGTTTAAGCAATTTGAGTTATAAAAACAGTAAGGAATATAAAGAGAACACTTTGCATTCATATTGTTTTATTAGTCAGCACAAGGTTCTATTTATCAAGGAACTAACAACCGTTAATAGGGGCAAGACATGGATGATGTAAACTATCTAAGGATAAACACTTTTTTGCAGGCAAAATGTTTATCTAATAATCTGACGTAACCTCCAGGCTCTTCGGTTTTGCTAATGCTGCATGGGTAATTTGATTCTTTTCACGCCATTTTCAGCAGAAGAAGCGTCTCAGCAGCAGTCAACCCGGCCAAGGCCCCGCTGTAAAGAAGCCAAAGATGGAGGTTTCCGAAGAGCCATCGACACTGAGCAGCATCTTCAACTTCTTATGATACTAGTTCTCTTCTTTTTAGAATTCTATTCCCAATAAAGCTATTTATGAATGTACAACTTCATCAAGATCTGGAAAGAATGTCCCCTGGTTTCAAAATAAATCAGCCCCATACTGTAAACGACTTTATTTTTGCGCGCTCAATATTTTGCGAATTTGGCGCAGTGCGGTGCTCTGAAATATTCCGCGGGCACAAAATTTTGCTAATGTGGGTGGTGTGTTATGTATTTGTTACCATTAAAAGAAGATTGCTGTGGGGTTTTTTTTTTTTTTCTTTCTTGCAATGTTATCAACAAAATTTACTTCTTCGCGAAAATTAAGTCGTTTACAGTATTCAGTGTGTTATACAGGACGTTTCCGAGCGCTATTTGGGCATAAAAAGATACTCTATAAATAAACCAAAAAATGGAGTGCATTGAAACTTTTCGCAAAGGTGTCCTTAGGTGGTGCATTTATAACTCAAAATTTGTGAGTTTCCAAAAAAGAAATGTAAGCACCCTATCTTTTTCTATTTTTTTTTTTATTGACTGAAAGCTCTTTGACGCTGTTACTCACAGATGGCAGTACACACACTGCTGGATCTGCTTGTGGGTGTTGATCTCGAAGAAGCTTTCACGTTTCTGCTTTATGTTCTGCCACGTGAGGAGCAATGTCGACCAGGTGCTTTTTTTTCCGTCTTCCTCCCTGTGCTTAGGAAAAAAACAGGATTTCGCGAGCTTGAAGGGGTGCTTTGCCAACTTTTTGAGCTAGCCCAACTAACTATATTTTCAGAATCACCAGCCTTTACCCTTTCCGGTATGCTATTTATAGTATCGCCAAATCCATAATATTTGTGGTGGAATCAGCAAGTGAAAATGATACCAAAACCAACCTTCAAATATACCTGCGCTTTTCAGTGCCATGACGTCGGTGCCATGATTTTGCAAGAACTAATCTGAATTTCGCGATACTACATAGCATTTGGGAGAGGGTAAAGACCGGTGATTATGAAAATATAGTTGGCAGGGGTATGTACTACACCCATTAAGTTTTAGTATGATAAATGCATAACCTAAAGACACCTAAGTGAAAAATTTAATTATGGTTTATTGATTAGTTTATATTATTTTTTATCCCCTACAGCGCTTGTAAACACCCTGTGGAGATGATGATTGTCACGAGTGCAACCTGTCCCCTTCGATTCACGGGGTGATTCTGATGGCGTTTTAAGAGACCACATAAATCAGTTTCTTACCTTATCATGCTACAATTTACTAAAAAGCTGGCCATAAGTGGTACGTTTATTATTTGGAAGTATGAGAATATGAGCTCCCCCAAGTCAATAAAAAAACAAGAAAAGTTTTTTCTATAAACTCTTTTCAGGTAAACCTTTTAATTTTTTCACGAAATGGCACTGTAGATTGATGTGGCATTTGTTGCTACAAAAAGACTGATCGAAGGAAAAAAATAAAAAGGATTACCTAGAGCGAGTTTATAGAAAACACGCTTGTCACAGCGCTGGTTTGGCTTCGCTGTCTATCGTCCGCTTGACATCTCTGTCATTTTCTGGCCCATCTTATGTTTGCAAAAAACATGTGGAAGAAACACGTTTAGGTGATGACTCTGGCCGCTCTTCCCGCGGGAAGCGAGCGACCAGATTGGTGTTCGGAGCTAGCCTCGAACCAGAAGTAGTTAGTTCCGCACCACCGCGGAGGGCGCTGCGGTGTGGGGGGCTCTGGGGTCCCTTTCTGGCGGCCACGGTGACGGCGGCATAGTGCGCTCGCCTTTTTTGCGGTGTGGTGGTGTGTTAATGGTGTGCGGCCAGTGGCTGGCCTCATATTTTGCTATGGTGCTGTGCTGATCAGAGGTGCCAACATCGTGCTTGAAGGTGAGCCTTAACCTGAAGAAGAAGAGAACACAAATTTACGGACTCTGGCGACTTGGTGGCGGTGATGAGGTACAACAAGAAGCGGTGAGCGAGAGAATGCGGGACCACCGCTGGGGAGAAACAACCGGAACGGTCGGTTTCGGAGGGACCCTATACTTGGACGCCATCTACCCCCGTGCGAGTGAAGCGCTCGGTGTGCCGAACATAATGTGGTCGCCGTGTCGGACAGAGAGTCATCACCTGAATGTGTTTCTTCCACCATGGGTGCTACAGGCGGTGAGAGAGGGAATTGGGGACTACCGCCGGAAGAAACAACCGGAGGGGTAGGTTTGGAAGGGACTCGATACTTGGGTGCCATCTATCCCCGTGCGAGTGAAGCGCTCGGTGCACTGAACATAATGTGGTCGCCGTGTCGGACAGAGAGTCATCACCTGAATCTGTTTCTTCCACCGTGGGTGCAACAGGCGGTGAGAGGGAATTCGGGACTACCGTCGGATAAAACAATCGGAGGGGTAGGTTTGGAAGGGACTTGATACTTGGGTGCCATGTATCCCCGTGCGAGTGAAGCGCTCTGTGCACTGAACATAATCTGGTCGCCGCGTCGGACAGAGTCGTCACCTAAATGCGTTTCTGCCACCATGGGTGCAACAGGAAGCGGTGAGCGAGGGAATGCGGGACCACCACTGGGGAGAAACAACCGGAACGGTCGGTTTGGGAGGGACCCGATACTTGGGCGCCATCTATCCTTGTGCAAGTGAAGCGCTCGGTGCATCGAACATAATGTGGTCGCCGTGTCGGACAGAGAGTCATCACCTGAATGTGTTTCTTCCACCGTGGGTGCAACAAGAAGCGGTGAGCGAGGGAATGCGGGACCACCGCTGGGAGAAACAATCGGAACGGTCGATTGGGAGGGACCCGATCCTTGGGCGCCATCTATCCTTGTGCAAGTGAAGCGCTCGGTGCATCAAACATAATGTGGTCTCTGTGTCGGACAGAGAGTCATCACCTGAATCTGTTTCTTTCACCATGGGTGCAACAACAGGCGGTGAGAGAGGGAATTCGGGACTACTGCCGGAAGAAACAACCGGAGGGTAGGTTTGGAAGGGACTCGATTTTTGGGTACCATCTATCCCCGTGCGAGTGAAGCGCTCGGTGCACTGAACATAATGTGGTCACCGCGTCGGACAGAGTCGCCTAAATGTGTTTCTTCCACCATGGGTGCAACAGGAAGCGGTGAGCGAGGGAATGCGGGACCACCGCTGGGAGAAACAACCGGAACGGTCGGTTTGGGAGGAACCCGATACTTGGGCACCATCTATCCTTGTGCAAGTGAAGCGCTCGGTGCACCGAACATAATGTGGTCGCCGCGTCGGACAGAGTCGTCACCTAAATGTGTTTCTTTCACCGTGGGTGCAACAGGAAGCGGTGAGCGAGGGAATGCGGGACCACCGCTGGGAGAAACAACCGCAACGGTCAATTTGGGAGGGACCCGATACTTGGGCGCCATCTATCCTTGTGCAAGTGAAACGCTCGGTGCACCGAACATAATGTGGTCGCTGCGTCGGACAGAGAGTCATCACCTGAATGTGTTTCTTCCACCGTGGGTACAACAAGAAGCGGTGAGCGAGGGAATGCGGGACCACCGCTGGGAGAAACAACCGCAACGGTCAATTGGGAGGGACCCGATCCTTGGGCGCCATCTATCCTTGTGCAAGTGAAGCGCTCGGTGCATCGAACATAATGTGGTCTCTGTGTCGGACAGAGAGTCATCACCTGAATGTGTTTCTTCCACCGTGGGTACAACAACAGGCGGTGAGAGAGGGAATTCGGGACTACTGCCGGAAGAAACAACCGGAGGGTAGGTTTGGAAGGGACTCGATTTTTGGGTACCATCTATCCCCGTGCGAGTGAAGCGCTCGGTGCACTGAACATAATGTGGTCACCGCGTCGGACAGAGTCGCCTAAATGTGTTTCTTCCACCATGGGTGCAACAGGAAGCGGTGAGCGAGGGAATGCGGGACCACCGCTGGGAGAAACAACCGCAACGGTCAATTGGGAGGGACCCGATCCTTGGGCGCCATCTATCCTTGTGCAAGTGAAGCGCTCGGTGCATCGAACATAATGTGGTCTCTGTGTCGGACAGAGAGTCATCACCTGAATGTGTTTCTTCCACCGTGGGTACAACAACAGGCGGTGAGAGAGGGAATTCGGGACTACTGCCGGAAGAAACAACCGGAGGGTAGGTTTGGAAGGGACTCGATTTTTGGGTACCATCTATCCCCGTGCGAGTGAAGCGCTCGGTGCACTGAACATAATGTGGTCACCGCGTCGGACAGAGTCGCCTAAATGTGTTTCTTCCACCATGGGTGCAACAAGAAGCGGTGAGCGAGGGAATGCGGGACCACCGCTGGGAGAAACAACCGCAACGGTCAATTGGGAGGGACCCGATCCTTGGGCGCCATCTATCCTTGTGCAAGTGAAGCGCTCGGTGCATCGAACATAATGTGGTCTCTGTGTCGGACAGAGAGTCATCACCTGAATGTGTTTCTTCCACCGTGGGTACAACAACAGGCGGTGAGAGAGGGAATTCGGGACTACTGCCGGAAGAAACAACCGGAGGGTAGGTTTGGAAGGGACTCGATTTTTGGGTACCATCTATCCCCGTGCGAGTGAAGCGCTCGGTGCACTGAACATAATGTGGTCACCGCGTCGGACAGAGTCGCCTAAATGTGTTTCTTCCACCATGGGTGCAACAGGAAGCGGTGAGCGAGGGAATGCGGGACCACCGCTGGGAGAAACAACCGCAACGGTCAATTGGGAGGGACCCGATCCTTGGGCGCCATCTATCCTTGTGCAAGTGAAGCGCTCGGTGCATCGAACATAATGTGGTCTCTGTGTCGGACAGAGAGTCATCACCTGAATGTGTTTCTTCCACCGTGGGTACAACAACAGGCGGTGAGAGAGGGAATTCGGGACTACTGCCGGAAGAAACAACCGGAGGGTAGGTTTGGAAGGGACCCGATTTTTGGGTACCATCTATCCCCGTGCGAGTGAAGCGCTCGGTGCAGTGAACATAATGTGGTCACCGCGTCGGACAGAGTCGCCTAAATGTGTTTCTTCCACCATGGGTGCAACAGGAAGCGGTGAGCGAGGGAATGCGGGACCACCGCTGGGAGAAACAACCGGAACGGTCGGTTTGGG